TGAAAATAATAAAATAAATAAACCTACTTTACCCCCCTCCCCCCAAAAACCCTGCAATTGTTAAAAAAGATCTTTCTAAAAAACAAAAAGAAAAAATTAAATTTAAAAAAAAAACTAAAAATAGAGTGGCATTCAGCAATCCTACTCTTGGGCATATATCTGGAGAAAAATGTCCATTGACAGATGAATGGATAAAGAAGATGTGTATATACACAGTGGAATAGTAGTCAGTCGTAAAAAGGAATGAAATAATAATAATGCATGGTTGGATCTAGAGATTATCACAGCAAGTGAAATCAGAGAGAGAAAGGCAAATACCATATGCTATCACTTACATGTGAAACCTAAAATATGACACATAGTGGAGGGTATAGCTCAGTGGAAGAGGTCCTGGGTTCAATCCCTAGTACCGCCATTAAAAAAAAATAGTAATAAATAAACTTAATTACCTCCCCCCAATTGTGTTTTTTTTAATAAATAGAATGACACAAATGAACTATGAAGCAGAAACAGATTCACAGACATAGGAAACAAACATACCAAAGGGGAAAGGGTGTAGGGGAGAGATAAATTAGGAGTTTGAGATTAGCAGATAGAAACTACTGTATATAAATCAAGGACCTACTGTAGAGCACAGGGAGCTATACTCAACATCCTGTAATAAACCATAATGGGAAAGAATATGTATGCATATATATGACCGAATCACTTAGCTGTACCCCTGAAACTTAACACAATATTGTGAATCAACAACTTAAAAGAAAAAAAACAAACAAGCTCAGGTCCTGAGAAACTTGCCTAGGCTGCTTTTGCCTCTTTAATGATCCCTCTGCCGAGCCGGCATGACATTGGTAGATGTCAGGAGTCAGTTTATCTCTGCACTCTGTGAAAGGGGGGGTGGCCGTGCGTAAGGTGTGTGCTGCCCGACTGGGGAGTGTCCAGGCACAGATAAGTTCAGTTTTATTTTCCTAAGGCAGGGCAGCGAACCCTTAAAAACAAATTTCGCTTTGACTTATGCTCCTTTCTCATGTTTTATTTCTCAAATGTATAGATCTATAGTTGTATCTTGAAATTAATGGGTCACAAACAGTGTCATTTTGTGTACTTTGTTGATAGACTCACATTTCTTAGACTTTTTAGAAAACAACTCTATTGAGGTCTAAGTCATCATATAACATGTAATTCACCCATTTAAATTGTGCAACTAAATTGTACAATTTAATGCTTTACAGTGTATTAGAAGGTTGTGAAACCATCAGCATAATCCAGTTTTAGAACATTTTCATCCGCATCCCCAAAACACCCAGACCCATTAGTAGCCATGTCTTAATCCTTGCCACTCCCAGCCCTAGGCAGCCACCGAAGAGCTTTCTGTCTGCGTAGATTTGCCTATTCTGAACATTTCATATAAATGAAATCATACAGTATGAGGTTTTTTAATGAATGACTGTTTCCACTTGATATTTTCAAGGTTCATCTGTCTTACAGGATGTATCAGCATTTCGTTCCTTTCTATTGCCTCATGCTATTTTATTATATACCACATTCTGTGTACCTGTTCATCAGTTGATGGACACGTGAGTTGTTCCCATCTTTTGGCTCGTATGCCTGATGCTACAGTGAACATTTGTGTCCAAGGTCTCGTGTGGACATCTGTTTTCATTTCTTTTGGTTATATACCTAGGCGTGGAATTGCTGAGTCATACGATAACTCTGTGTTTAACTTTTTGAGGAACTGCCAAACTGTTTTCCGCAGTGGCTGCACCAGCTTACATTTCCCACTCAGAACTGTATGCGTGCTCCTGTCCTTGTATTCTCTCCATCACTTGCTTCTGTTGATTGTATTCAGTCTAGGGGGTGTGAAGTGGTATCTTGTTGTGGTTTTGATTTGCATTTCCATAATGCCTAATGATGTCAAGCATCTTTTAATGTGTTTATTGGTCACTTGTGTATCTTCTCCGGGAAAATGTCTGTTCATATCCTTTGGTAATTTTTTGATTGGGTTATTTTTCTTTTCACTGTTGTTAGGAGTTCCTTGTATATTCTGTACACAGGTACCTTGTCGGGTATGTAATTTGCAAATATTCCTTCTATTCTTTGTCTTCTCTTTCTTGATGGTGTCCTTTGAAGCATGAAGGTTTTTATTTTGATGAAATCCAATTTATCTATTTTTGTTGTTGTTTGTACTTTTGGTGTCCTAACTAAGAATCCATTGTTTGACTCAAGAATGTGAAGATTTACTCCATTTTAACTTGGAAGTTATCAAACTTCTAAGAGTCTTACAGTTTTAGCTCTCACATTTAGGTCTTTGATTTATTTTGAGTTAATTTTGTATCAGATGAGATAGGGGTCCAACTTCGTTTTCACATGTGGAACTCCAGTTGCCCCAACAGCATCTTTTGAAAAAAAACTATTCTTTCCCCACTTAATATTGTTGGCACCCTTCTCAAATAAAAAAAAAATATTGTCCTAAACCACAAATCAGAGCACTTGGATTCTTTGGACAACCCAAAACTTCCATGAAAGTGTTTCAGCACCTTAGTGTCTCTACCACAAATAATGTACCATTCCTAAAGCTGACTCTGGATTTGGAAGGATAGAATCTGAGATCTGAAATGTAAACCTCATGCCTGCTCTGTGGGTCTGTCAGACTGTGGACAGAGAGCAGCTGTTCCTGGTCATCCTGGGCGGAGGCAGGGGCATGTTGAGCCATCTGCTGAAGAGCAAGTTTTCCGATGAGTCATCTGAAGGGAAGTTTGAAAATTGCTGGTAACTATGCTGGGCAGCACTGAGCTGTTTGTCAGACTGTAGCTGCAGATAGCTGGATGGCATGGTTTATTTACAGTATCGTATTGGAAGGACTGCTTGGGGAAGAAGAGATGAAATGAGCAGTTTTGTGGCTGTCGGTGTGGTGCCTGTTAATTTCTGGAAGAAAACACCAACTCAGAGGCAGTCAAGTGTTTCAAGCTGCCTCGATAATAATGACATTGGAGGGGAAAAAATGAGTGTTTTCATTTGAAGCTAAAATTAACGTTGAAAGCAGCGGTGGTAGTATTTTTGCCATCAGTGTCTTTGATGGCTCTTTGTCTGCCTTAAATTTATTAGCAGAAGGAATTGGAGTGTAGTTGGAGGTAGGAAGAACTACTGAAGTTACTTAAAACTTGACTTCCGAGGTTGGAAAAAAAAACAGGGGTTAAGCTTGCATTCTGTAGTAAAATATGTGTTTGTTAATCTTTAACTTTTAAGGAGCAAGTATTTGTTTGTTGTGTAGTTTGTTTTTAAAGTACTTGTTCTGGTTTTCCCTTTGCTGACTTGTCTTTTCCAAGCAGCAGAGCCGGCCAGATACTGTCTCCAGGAGGATCCTTTATGTGTATTCTCATCATATTTGGGGTAAGAGGAAGGGTTCTTATAAACAGTTTAGAGGATCGTTTATGTAACATTTATTCCTGGGTGGTTCTCAGCCTGTCTCAGAGCTTGGATTTCCTTCAAGCAGGCATGGAGGTGGGGCAGAATTCCAGCTTTGCAGCCGGGGCGCTTGCTTTGAGGCAGATTCAAGGGCAAGCACACATTAGGCCAGCAGGCACCATAACCCGGGACAGAGGCCTGTGATGAGCCTTGTGCCCCTGCCCTGGGGCTCCTCTCCCCTCCCACGGTCCCTTTTGCTAGGACTGGAAAGTGCCACTGGGCAGCCGAGATTCTTGAGGGGAGAGGAGCAGTTTCCTTGTCCCCACCTGACGGGTCCCCGCCCGGAGGCATGCTGGAGTCTTAGACGTGACTGTAAGTGTTCAAGACCCTCTAGGAACCGTCTAAACTCTTCTGTGGTCCTGCGGGTGCACCACCCGCTTTTATAAAATGGCTCGTGTTGATGGAGAGTTACATATTAAGATTCAGTAAAACTACAGCCATCAAGCTCAAGGTCCATTCAACCTTGGGAAAGAAGCTTAAAGAAAACAACTCAGAAAGGTGACCTGTTAAACAGAAGAGCTAGTACCTGCCTTCCAGGGAGTCTGTGGTGTTCCTGAAGAGTCCTGACACGTCAGGTTGCTGGTGGTAGAAGGGCACAGGGTAGGTGGACATTTCTGTCATAACTGTTGTACAGACTTTCCTTTTGTAGGGCCCATTCATTCTGGGTCACACCTCCTCCGGCTTCCCAATCTTGAAACGTGGCATCAGGGCCCTTGGCTCTCTGGCTGGTCCACCTCTCTGTCTTTCCTCCTACCAATTCTTACACTTAGAATGCCTGTTTTTTCCCTCCTCCTCAGAGCTAAATCCTCCCTGTCCTCCAAGCCCCTCCCAAGGCTCTCCTGGCTGCTGGAAGGAACACCTGGAAGGGGTGGGGTCTCCATGGAGTTTTGACAGCATTTTCTGTGCCTCTCAAGCACTTGCTGTTTTTTCTGTAATTTTTAAATATACTATTTTTTTTCCTTCTGCTCAAAGATACAGTATTTGCAGGTGAACAAAAAGATTCTCCAGTTTCTCTGTGTTCTCCAGAATACCGTGAGTCCAGCAGGTGCTCCGTAGACCCTGGATAGATAAGAAAATAATTTCCTTCTCATTTTGCAATTAATAGTAGTCGAATCCTTAATTAATACTGACTGAATCCTTAATCTCTGTTGCCTTTCCTATAACTGTTTTATACAATGTATAAACTTAAAGGATATCATGTATTTATCATTATGTAAAGGTTGTATTGTATCCCTCAAACTAGATTTAAACTTGTAAGTTGAGACCATAGCCTCCCCCCAACCCCACGTTGAGCGCAGGCCCCATATGCAGAAGGTTGCTTTGGGTTGATCGCCTCCCACTCTGTCATGCTCTCTGAACACAGACCCAGGCTCTGAAGCAGGGCACCCTGCCACAAATGCATTTGCAGACTCTTTCTCCTCCAGCCAGAGTCTGAGGGTTTGTTTTTTTTATTTTTTGGCCCCCAGGAGGGCTAAAACTGATCTGCTAAAAATGCTTTCTCTAACTTTTCTTTCTTTTTTTTTTTTTTGTTGCAGGCGGTCGGGAGAGACTTCAGGACAAGGATGTTTCACTTAAGGACTTGTGCTGCTAAGTTGAGGCCGTTGACGGCCTCCCAGACTGTGAAAACCCTTTCACACAGCAGACCGGCAGCAGCTAGGACGTTTGGGCAGGTGCGGTGCTATGCCGCCCCTGTGGCTGCGGAGCCCTTCCTCAGCGGGACTAGTTCGAACTATGTGGAGGAAATGTACTATGCTTGGTTGGAAAACCCCAAAAGTGTCCACAAGGTAAGGCTCACGGGAGCAAGCGTCTTTGCGTTTTTGGAGTCTTGGCCGACGTGGGCTGGCGGTCCAGGTAAGTGCGTATGTTCCAAGGACCCTCAAGAAGGCAGGCAGGCAGGCGGCTGGAAGCCTCACCGACCGGAATTCTCTGCATCAGCCCAGCCTGGCCAGCAGCGGGCCCGACAGGAGCCACCCTCTCTGGAAAGGGGCGTTTCCCTCTCGCTGGATGTGCGGCGTGCTCCAGTTCTTGCTCCCTGGACCAGAGAACGTGTTCAACCCGCGAGGATGTGGAGAAGCACTTGCACCCCTTCCAGGATCCCGCCAAGGCTGCTGCAGGATGGTGCTGCCGAAGAAGAGAAACTCCTCTGTCCCGTTGTCCTAAGAACACCTTCAGATCATCTCATGTAATTTCTGTGTAACTGACATTTTAGAGCAGTATGTTCATGTTTTTCTCCTGAACTTGAAAGTAAATTCTGTAAAGGCTTCCTTCTAATTTCTCTGTGTTACCTATAAGGCCCTTCCTTCCCAGAGCCTCTCTTTTCACACGTTTACTTGATAATAGGCATGCCTAGTGACAGAATTTCTTCATAGCATTTTAGCCAGTGGTATTTATGCCTTTTGGTGGCCATTTCCTGGTTTGCAGTTCAGGCGGCTGGCCCAGTCAAGGGGTGGGGCCCCAAGTTGCTCAGGCTCCTTGTGCCAGGTTTGCAGGGTGTGGGGAGATTTGAAGGAGGCAGTGTGAGGTGCTCAAGGCCTGCACAGAGGAAGTGCCCAACGGAGGCTAGCTGTTGTCACTGTTGATTTTGTCTTCATCACTCCAGAATCTTGGGGACTCATTATCAAAAGGCAGCCTCCTTCCATTGAGCCCCTGGACGTAAGCTTTACCCTTTTACCCTGAAGTGGTAGTGACATTTGAGATTGGGCACATTTGTGGGAGAAGGTGTAGTTCAAGTGGTAGAGCACATGCTTAGCATGCACAAGGTCCTGGGTTCAATCCCCAGGACCACCTCCAAAAATAAATAAATAGACCTAAATCCTCCCCCCCAAAAAAAAGATTGGGTACTTTTGTGTGACTGCTGGAGCCACCAGCCCTGTTCATCAGGAATGCCACCTCTTGGTCCAAACCTCATTGCCTAGCAAAGGAGAGCATCTAGCCAGGGCTTTCCCTTCCCCGTTTCCATGGCAACCCGGAGGCTACCTTGCTCCATGAGCAAGGTGAGACATGGTTTCCTATGAGAGGAGATCTGGGTTATGTTTCCCTAGTCTGTCGACAAATAGACTGCCCAGAAAGAACCCTATAAAAATGGCCCGGCCTGCGATCAGATGTTAGAGGTTTCTGAAGATAGTTGCTGCAAGATTATCTCTAGAATAAACTTAGCCCAGAGATTTTGGAATCACACTGTCATGTTGTGTCCAGGCTGTCCCTTCCTTTTCTCAAACATAACCTCTTTATGGAACCAACCAAGTCTTCTTAAGTTATGTTTGGTTTTAGAGAGACTAGCAGCTGAATGAGCGGTTGTAAAGGGATCTAGGCTTGGGGAGGTCCACGAGTGAATGCCTGGCATCACAGGAATGGGTTGCAGGGAAGAAGCACACTGTGGCTCTGGGGGGCCGAGCTCTGAAAAGTGGGGCTGAAACCATCACAGTGGCTCCTGCTAGAAGTTTTTTGAAGAGGTTTTTTTGTGGGGGCATGATCCTAGACCAGTGATGCATCAGTGGTGCTGATTTTCCTTGAGAAGATTTTTTTTTCCATTCTTAGGTTTATTACTACTGCCATTATTAGTTTTATATTAATATCATTATCATTATTATTGCGCTAGAAAAATCTTTTAAGACTTACTCTTTAGAGCAGTTTTAGGTTCACAGCAAAATTGTTAGGAAGGTAGAGATTTCCCATTTACCCCTTGTCCTCACATATGCGATCTCCCCCACCATCAACATATCCCTTATCAGAGTTATTGTAACTCATGACCCTGCAGTGACATGTCATCATCACCCAAAGTCCATGGTCTTCATTAAGGTTCACTCTTGGTGTTGTGCATCCTGTGGGTTTGGACAACGTGTATCACCAATGTAGTATCATATGCAGTATTTCAACTGCTCTAAAAATGCTCCGTGTACCACCTATTCGTGAAAAAATATTTTTATCACATGGTATCAAGGAAGGCAGCACATGATGACTGGGAGGCACTTGGGGGTCCTCAGGCTGGGTGGGGCGACCCTGGTGTCCATCTGTCCCGAGGGTGAGGACAGCATAGTGAGAGGCCTACTGACAGGCACGGATGGAGCCTGCTGGGGGAGAGTCCGGAGTGAGGACTGGGTTCTGTGGGTCAGAGCAAGCGCCTCTATGAGAGATTCTGCAGGGGAAGTGGGTAAAGGATCTCTAAAGGATTTCCAGTGTAATAAGAGAATACATGTGGGTTGGCATCTTTGGGCCAGGTTTTATGTGCTGGTTTCTGTTGCCAGGATTCTTCAGGGGGACACAGCATCTCCTAGAGGGAGAGGGACAGGAAGGTGTCAGTCAGTGGACATTTACGGTGGCAGTGCCCCTCGTCCCCCATATCCTAGCAAAGTGGAATTGATCATCTCTCCAAGTTGAATGAGGCCTAATGCCTGATGAGATGTATGCTCATATTTTGAGGGATGTGATCCAGAGCTTTATCAGATTTTCAAAGACATTCGTGACCCCCGGAAGGCTGTAGAAATAATTGGCTTTATTAAGAATGCTTGGTTCACACTCTTAATAAAAATAGTTTGGGGAGAGAGAGAAAAAGGAGGCTATAAGATTAAGATTGATCATCTTGCTGACCTCCCAATTCTGCGTTAGATGAGGGCTCTCAGGCTCCTTGTCCCGAGGGCTGGTGGCTCTCATTCTCCCCTCCATCGCAGGGAGCCGATGGGGAACTGCTCTGCCTGAACGTTTTCATATTGGCAGAAACAGAACAATTTTAGCATCACCCCCTCCCTGCCCTTTTGCATTCTGCTTTTCGGTTATTTTTTAAACTTTTTATGATGTTTCAAACATACAAAAGAGAGAAGAGTATAAAACAAACCTCCATGAGGAAACCCATCACCCAACTTCAACAGCTCTCTACAGTCTGCTGGGCTTTAAAAATCTATTCCTTCCCCACCTACTTTTCTGTTTGTTGTTTTGTTTTGGGTGGGGGCCCACTGGAGTATTTCAAGGCACAGCCCAAACCATTGTCATTTCTGCCATAAATGCATCTTGAGTGGCTCTGACAAAGGAATGGTTTCTTAACCACACCCAACAGAATTAACAAGTTAAATCTCTCTTCCTCAGACTGTACTCAGCTGTTTGTGGTGATCTTAAAGCTGCCTTTTCACATTTGGCTTTATAATTTATAGCTGGTTGTTGTATCCTGATTTTTAGAGAAAAGTTTTACCTTTTTTTAAAAATTCTATTTATTTATTTATTATTGTGTTAATTACCTTTTTTGTAGGGAGGAGGAGCATCTGTGGTAATTAGGTTTATTTATTTTTAGAGGAGGTACTGGGGATTGAACCCAGGACCTTGTGCATGCTAAGCACATGCTCCACCACTTAAACTATACCCTCCCCCCAAAAAGTTTTACTTTTAAATGTTTAATTATGAACGTTATGTTTGCGGTGAAGTAACCAAGCATTTCAGAGGTGCGAGCCCGCGCGTGCGCCCGGCGCCCCTGCGCCCAGTTTACGGGCCGGCCCACAGTCTGCCTTTGCACTCTCTCGCCTCCAGTCCCCTCTTTGTCCCTTGGTGTGGCCTCTCCTGTTGAGCTGTCTCTTCCCCATCGTTTTCTCCAGAATGGCCTCTGCACTCCAGTCTTAAACACCTTGTCAAGTGCAGCTCACCACCTGGACCCCACTAGGAGCCTTCTGCTGGGCCTGCTCTGTCAGCACACGAAGCCCTCCCTCATTAGGGTCTTGGCCATGCTGGGGACACGTCAGATGGTGGCATCTTATTTTTATCTACATCTTAAAAACACTTAGAGTCAAAGCCAGATTGCCCGTGTTAGTATTTCAGACAAACAGGCAGTTGAGAACTGCTGAGCCCTCACGAGACCCCATTTGTGCAGCCAAGACAGATGCCCACCCCTAGGTGTGGCGTCGTGGCAGCCCTGCCAGGGACAACCCAGGACTGGTTGCCATGCGGAGCTGGGGGAAGGGCCCCGTGCCCTCCCCACCCTGAGGTGCCCTCCTCCCCATGCTCATCGGGCCTCCACAGCTGTCCTTGCTGCCTCGGAGCTCACTTCCCCTGCCTGTGACCCCTTCCCACTTCCTAAAGCCTGTCTTCCTCTTCTCGCTGACTGCGTCCATTTCCTCTTCTGACTTTTGCGGGCCAGCTCCTAACTGTAGTAACAGCTCTCTGGTCTAGCATGGTCCCCGTAGGAGCTCTGTGTGGCATCCGAGGTGCAGGTTCTGGAACCTCAGTCCCACCTCTTGGAGGCTGGCCATGCCAACTTTCTGGACCCGGGCAGGTCTGCTGCTGCTTTCCGTGCTCATGAAACACAATCCTGTTATTTTCTGTAATTGAACCAGACTGGCAGAGGAGAAACAGACAGACATCATCTCCAGTATGGGGTGACACCATTCCTTTTCACTCTGCAGCTTTGAAATTGCCTTGGCTGTACTTTAAAAACTCAGCCACAGCTGCCCTCCTCCCCAGTTCTGTGCTGGCCCTGGGGAAAAAAAAACACACTTGATAGATAGTTAATGGGATTTCAGTGATCAAGGCTGTTAAACAGCATTTTAAAGTTGCCCCTCGATATTCAGCTTCCTACATCAGGAGGAGTCTCAACCTTGGCGGCTTTTTGTGTTAAATCAGCTAAGAATATCTTCCCTAACTTTAGTGCAGTATTTTACTCTTAAAGGGTTTTTGTTTCTATAGTCAGGGAGATAAAATTAACACCTTTAAGAAGTATGAGTAGCATGAAGCAGTGCCTTCACTTTATGTGTGCGGCAGTTTGCAGCTCCTGACAGTTTTGCTGGAGGACTGAATCGAGCGGCTGCCAGGAGGTGTGATGCTTGCAAGCTGGTAGGAGATTAGGTAAGCTGAACACAGAATACAGGGAGAACCCAGCCGGCTTCTGAGGGGCGGCACCAGTTGTACTGAGCTTTGAAGGCTAAGGGAGGGGCCCGAAAAGAGACAGGGCATCTGTGCTCAGGAGAAGCACCTGTAAAAGCAGAGAGACGCAAGGGTCCAAGAAGGATCTTGGGGCACTCAGTGATCAATTTCCGGGGGTGGGTCTTGGCGGGCTTGACACCAGGGGCCAAAGGCAGCAAGTGAAGACCAAAAGTTGGAGCTGCGACCTACATGGAGCGGCTCCAAGATCAAGCAAAGGGGTGTTTATATTGTGAAATGCTCTAGGGACATGGACCCCACCTCGGTGGCTTGAAGAGAGTCTGAGGGCCTCAGCTAACTAAACCTGCATGGGAGGAAGGGCGGGCTTGGCATAAAGGAACGTGATTGTTTTTAATGAGTATCCTTTTGTACTGTGTTTTAAGCAAAAACAATGGATTTTTTAAATGGCGATGATGAAAGGACTGGAGAGAAAGATCCAGAACAACTTTAAAGGGGAGGTGGATACCAAGAACGAAAAAGGAGCGAGTAGTCCTCAGTTCCCCGGGCAGTTTTTGAGAAAGGTGCAGAGAGCTCCTCCCTTGCCGCCTTCACGGCACCTCCTCTTTGGGGAAATGAAGGAGCCCGTTGGTGGTGGGGAGGTGTTCTGCAGGGCCTTTGCCGGTGAGGAGCTCTGATGGGTGATCACATCCAAAGCCTCTAGGCCACCCACTTCCCCACTCCACCTGTGTGAGGCCCTCGGAGAGGCCTGCAGGCCTGCTGAGCGCTGGGCTTGTCCATCCATGAGTGGGTTGTGAGTTTAGGGTCTTCTCTCTAAGTTGTCATGACTTGTGGACTCAGAATTCTCTCTGAGCCCAAGGCTTTGCTTAGCTGGGCCTTGGAGACCCGATGGCCACTGTGGTTCCGCACAGCCTCCCTCAAGTGTGGCCATTCAGAGTTGACAGAACGCACTGTTGGGTGCAGACTGCCAGGCAGAGGGCAAGTCCTCTCAGTTCCTGAAGAATGCCAAAAAGACTGCTTACAAGAGGGGTCACAGGCGTCCTGGACATAATATTTTCCTGCAGTAGAGGTCTGGTGTCCATGAGCATTTGTGCAACAAACCACCCGAGTACTTGGCTACTTGAAACACTCTCCGTGAAGTCTTTCTCGTGATTCCTGGCTCCCGTGCAGGTGAGGTTTGGCCAGGCTGCAGCTCCACAAAGGACCCCCTCACATCTGGCACTTGCTGCTGACTGTGCTGACCGCTCGCCGGGCCCTGCCGTCCTCTAGGGGGCCAGAGCGGCCCCTCACAGCGCCTCAGAGTAGATCCAAGAGGAGGAGAGGAGAGGCCGTGGGCGCTCCGCCCAGAACTTGCACACCACCACTCCTGCCCATGGCCTTGGTCAAAGCCAGCCTCAGGCCAGCCCCAGGAGCTCACCTCCAATGGAGGAGCCTCACGGCCACCTCAGGGGGCTTTTGTGTGGGCCTGGGAGGACGTGCGGCCACTGGGCAGCCAACACAGTCCTTTCGATAATGATCTGGCGGGGCCGCCACCTTTAGTCTAGGGCAGAGACCCAGGAGTGTCCGTATCAGCAGATTTGTAGGGCAGAGCTGAGGCAGCTTTTCTTTGCTAACCTTGGGTGTTTGTTGACATACCACCTGCACACCCGTACAAGGGAGAAGGCAGTACAGGTTGGAGACATTCTCTCCTGTGTTCTGTGCTGTGCTTTAAAAACAATGGTATCGCTCCAATCGAGCACAAATTCATTTGGCTTCTGTATGAGAGGCATACCCAAGCAGATCCCCCAGTTGTAACTGCTTCCAGTATAAACAGCTCTGTGGTGACACGTCAGGCAGGCCCAGGTCCTCGTGCCTCCTAGACATGGTGGGGGGCGGGGGCTGGCTGTGGTCCTGCCTGTCCTCAGCTGGGGACGGTTTGAGCAGGCCCCACCCATGGATGGAGGGGTCTGAAGCCTAGCACGACACATCTCTGAGGGCTGCTTGGCCCTAAAGCAGGAAGCTTTTGTGAAGGTTCTGTGGCGGTCCACCAAGGGCCTTCTCTCTTCCTCACCCTGGGCATCATCTCGGCGGGACATGAGGGCACTCGCACAGTGTTTTCAGGGAGGGCTTGGAGCCCAGCAATTGGCACAGACGGGGTGCATCAGGAGGCTTGTAGGGACTGCCCAGTGCAGTCTTTTCCTACACAGCAGAGACACGAATCACTCGGCTCCACACCATAGCTGGGCAGGTGTGCGCAGAAAGCTGGGTGCTTAGGTAATCATGCAGAATTTGCCGGTGCACTTTCTAAGCTGGAAGAGCCCCCATGCAGGATGGCCGGGAAGTCATGCTGCCTCAGTGGCGCCAGCTCCCTCCAGCGTACACAGCTCTTCGGGGAGCCACGCCTATCGGCCAGCGAGTCACTGGTGACCATCCTTGGTGCAGAGAGCCGCCACGCATATTTGAATTAGCCTAAACCACCAAAGCTTTGTTTCACATGGCCATTAATCCATTTCCCTTGGTCCTTGTTGGCCTGAATTTCATGTTTGTGGTACTTAAAAAGCATTAGTATAAGAACAAAATAACAAGGTTAAAGTTTGTGACAGTGCTCGGGTCTGACGTCCAGCCCTGGCAGTCATTAGTTTATCAGCCGTGTGATGGCCTTTGAGCTCGGGGTTCGGTCCATTCAGGAGATGGCCAGAGGCTGCCCCACCCACTCCCCAGGGTGGTTTTACGTCAGGTCCTTGGCAGGGTGCCCAGCAGAGGGTGGTGGTGGCTGTTAGGTGACATCATGTGCCAGACCAGGGTGCATATTGCAGGTGGGTGGGGCTTGTTCCATAGCCAACGTGGAGATGGCAGGGCAGCAGCCACAGTGGCATCTGAAGGGGACTTTGGACAGGAGAACGTCTAGGTCTGGTCAGCCCAGAATCCAGAGTCATAGAATTTAGCAGCTAGAATAAGCTTTAGGGTTAAGCTTCAATCATCACCTTCTTGAAGAAATATGAGTTTACCTGCAGGTGCTTTTGAAGGTGTAAAAAACTACACAGATACAGGGGTGTCCTAAAAGCCTGTACTTAAAGGTGAGGAATCACACAGAGAGCTGAAGCGACTTCCCTGGCCCTCGCCCGGCCTGCGGGGGGCAGGACTGGGGCTCCCAAACCCCAGGAGCCAGCAGCAGGTGGGCCACTCCGAAGGGCTCGGCTGTGTGCGTGGCCTGGTTAGATCACACACGTGCACTGGCCCATGTTTCCAACACACGTTGGGGGCCTCGGAGATGGGGGATGGGGTAGCATGTTTGCAACCCCTCTGAAACTGAACTGTCTCTATTGTGAGCTTGACGGTCAGAAACTTGGCCCTGAGATGCTTGTGATCTACTGACAACACACAGGGTAAAGTCCACCCGCCTCACTGAACCATGCACGCCCTCGTCCTCTGGTTAGCAGTCCCACACCTACTGAGGCCAGCGCCTTATCTGAGATGGGGACCCAGGACTGGACGTTCCACGTTCTTACAGCTGACACCACAGCTAGAGCCACACCTGGTGCCACACCTGTCAGGCTGGTTTGCCTTGTGGAGGAGTCTGAACCCGACTTGAGTTTAACTCGGGTGTGTTGAGCATCTCCTATGTACAGAGCACTGGACCAGCTTCCTTAGGACATTACTGGGGAGAGGGGACACGTGTGCAGCCTTTGAAGAGCTCCCTCTAGTTGGGAGGAAGAGGACTGGTGACTGCAAGGAAAGCCCGTCAGGGTTAGGAGAAGTCTGGGAAGTTTCTGGGGGAGCAAGGAGGAGTGATGGGTTTTGAAAACAGAGCTTCGTATGCTGTCGTTAAATGCGTTTAGTTCTCTAAAACTAAAAGCAGGAAATTCTGGTTTCATTTCAATCAGAACATTATAGTTATTTATACTTGACTTCTGTCGTGTTCTGGTTCACGTGGTTTCAGCAGCAAGTTGATGACCTTAAACCCACTCGTGGGAGGTGGGTGGCCAGCCCACACCTCTGCTGATGGGCCGTCGCCCTCCTGCCCGTGAGCCTCCCCACCCTCCTCCCCCGCAGTCCCTAGCTTGGCGCAGGCCTGCTCCCAGGTAACTGCTTCCTTAGGAGGAGCACCGAAACCCAGGCTGGCCATGTCACTTCTCAGTGCCAGGCCACCTGTCACCTGGTTCCAGGTCTGCCGTGCACCCTCCCTGTGGCCACGTGACCTGGTCTCCCCTCAGACTCCTCGCACCCAGCTGTCCTCTGGGGCTCCGCCCTCTGGACGCTGTCCTTCCCTTCATTTTTCAGCACCTGTGCCTGCTGTGAAGTTAGGTGTTCGTTCATCTGTCCTGCTGTTCCTGAGAGTGAGGGGCTTATCGTGGTCCTCTTCCTGTCCCCAAACCTCCTAGCACGCTGTGTACAGGCAGCCGCGGTGGATATTTACAGGACTGAACTTCTGAGTACAAGTGCTCACCTTTTCACGAAGTACATCCTGTGTGCATCCTGCACATTGGGAAGACTGTTCACGTGTCGTGAGGACATCACTGGAACCCTCTGGGCAGAGGAGCTGGCCTTCTGGTGGCAGGCACCTTGCCTCACCCTCCTTGGGCCAAGGTCCTGACTCCTTCAGGCCCCCGCTCCCTCTCACCTCTAGGGGACAGAGAACTGAATGCCTGTGTCTGGCCGTTGGTACGTTGAAGGCCAGGCAGGGGGACCGCGAATTGACTTAGCTGTATGACAGACACAGATGAGGAGGTTGGAGGCTGTGATATTAACAATTAGGTGCCTTGATTCGCAGCGTAAGTTTGAGGTGCCTGCCTGGCAGATCGTAGTTAAATCTGCCTTGTGTTACACTCGGAGGAGGAAACCTAGCACGTTGCCCCGTGGTGGGGCTGGGACTCCTGCCTAGCTTAGTCTGACGCAGAAGGCCACGCTCCGGGCCCAAGCACCGCTCCCCCGTATGGAAGCCCAAGTCTGACTGCCTTTTTTCTCATGGGTGAAAAACCATTCCTAGTCAGGAACCTTTGCTGTCAGTCTTTCTGACATAATGTACTGTTAGATACCGTGCTGTCAAATCAAATTCCCCCACCAGCCAGTTACCGTGCTGATTCTTTTTGATTTGTGCCTCATCACTTGAAATATTTCTGGAGGTAGAAGTCACCACCCCTGCCCACATCAGGCCGTAGGTTGTGGGACATCCAGACAAGAGCCAGGGATGGTAGGAGAGTTTGATCGGAGAAACGGAAAACTCCACTCAGGTGGCTAACGCAGACAGGGTGTGTTTTTCTCACTTAAGAAACCAGGGGCTGCTCACCTCCACGGCACATAGGCCTCCAGGTGCAAGGAGCATGTGGGCCAGGAGCAGGCGTCATCTTCAGGAAGCGTCCTCTTCGTCTGGGAATTCGGGCCCTGCGCTGACCTGTCAGTTCAGCCTCGTGGTCATCTGTCCCTGCAGTGGGGTGAATAGAACCTCAGGTTGAGATGCGTACCGACAAGGGCTGCAATTATCAGGAGGGAATCCCTTTCCACATAGTGATAAGAGCCCCCCAGGCAGCAGGAGTGGGTGGGCAGAGAGGGCTTTGCGGGCTACTGCCAACTGAGCGCAGCAGCCAACTCCGGTGTAGCAGGGAGGTGGGTGAAAGATGTCTCGGAGAATGGGCGCAGGAGGAAGAGAAGGCACAGCTCGGCGTCTGTGGGCGGGGGTGAAACCTGCAAGCCAAAATTGACCCTCCTTTTCGCAGCCATTTTTTTTTTAATCAACTTTTTTTGAGGTCTGACTTCTAGTAAAACTTAACAGTTTTAAGTTGCAGTGCGAGGGCTTTGCAAATTGTATGCAGTCAGGAATTCTCTGTCACCCAAGTGTGCACACTGTTGAGGGCTTGCTGTTGTTGGGGGTGGGGAGCTCCTTGCCTGCGGGCTGGGCCAGGCGGGGGGGGGGGCACCTACCTGATGGCGGGTGTCCACACCCCCTGCCTAGAATGTGCGTGGGAGGGCCTGGCTTTTGGAGCAAAGTGGTGGTGTGTGCCGTGGGAGTGAGTTCCAGGAATGGAGGAAGCTCTGCATTCCTGGCATGTCCTTTCCCTGTGGCTCCCGGCTCTCTGCAGTACCGGTATGAACCAGTTTTTTCTGATTGCCTCCAGCTCGAGCAGACTTTTCCTGTGCAGTTGTCCTCAGCCAATTAAAAATCACCTGGAGTTTTATCCCCAGCACAAAAGAAGGTCAGAGAGAGGAGGGCCGATGTTGACGATCCCCCACCCCACCCCCAGGGCCTGGCTGGGAGAGCCCTGTGTGCCCTCAGGGTGTCAGCCCTGGAAATCAAATCCTTTGATATTATTGTTCGCTGACTTTGGCCAGGATAAGCCAGCCTGAGAGATGCTGTTTATGTCCTATGTCTGGACTGCCCTGCTCTTACTCACTTAACCCGATCACATCCCTGCTTGGTGCCCGCTTCTGTGTGTCAATCCTGCCTGCCTGAACCTCTCCCCGGGAGGCTGTGGTTGGCGTGCCAGGTGCTCAGAGCATCCCTGGGTAACTACTCCCACTCTTTTGCTAACACCACTGTTTTTGTTATTCAGAACTGATTTTCCTGAAGACAGGCGAACTGGTGGTTTTTGCTAGGCCTTTTGGCTCTGGATCTGTAAGCAGTTGGTGTCCATCAGGGTGAGTGGGTCAGTGTGCAGCCAGGCGACTCTCTCAGTCCAAGGTCTTATTGTTGGGTGACTGTCAGTGCGTTTCTGGACACATCTCCATGTGCTCTGTGAGACAGAAGACCATCTTTAAGCCTGGAAGGAAGTTGGGATCCTGTGCGCTGCTCTCCAGGGGCTGCTTGGTTTCAGGGTCATGCCCTGCTTTTCGGCACCCTCCCAGCCCCCGGGTGTGTGTCCACAACAGGACTTAAGTGTGGACACAGATAAGGCTGGGTACGCCAGTGCTGGAGCCGGTCTGGGGCAAAGGAGAAACTTGAGTAGGTGTACCTGGCAGCAGCATGCTGTTGGTTCTTGCCTTGCAGGGCTGGGCTGACTCTTGCCCCATTCACTGCCATATCAGAGGGGCTTCTTTTCATCCAGGCCCTCAGTTACTGGAGGCGTGGATGGGGGCCAGGGAGAGCCCTTGGCCAGAGCCGCTCCCAGAACACAGGGAGCTCACACGGCCTGTTGTAAAAGTTCCACAAAGTTGGAAATGTTTGGGGGTGTCCAGCACGTCCCCTCCTTATGCCCCTGTAACAAACCAAGTGGGTACCAAGCACGGGGCACTTTGCCCTTGGCTGTTGGTACTCAGACATCCTCCTCCCCTTCCTCTCACAACAGTACGTCAGGTGCTTTCCCTGGTGCACATACTGCTTTCATCCATGTCAGAGGGCTCAGGGTGAGTGTCGGTGGGATCAGGTTTGACAGGAAGAGTGAGAGAAGGTCTTGAGGTTCCAAGCCCCGGGTTGTCAGGTTACGTGACGCAAGGTGCTCTACCCTCGGTGTCGTGGCCGGTGCCAGAAGACTGCCCCAAACTTCTCTTCTTCCATCAGCTGACACACTGAAAACTAACCAGAACGGTAAAAACAGTAAAACCATGAAGAATGAGATTCGTTAAAACACTTAATTCACATAAAAAGTGTGTAAGTCTGGTTTTTAGTATATTCACCAGGTTGTACGATCGTCTCCCCGAGAGTTTGCTTTTTAAATTAATTTTTCTGAATACAAAAGGAATATGTTCTTGTCGTAGAATGATGTAAGCATTCCACAGAGCTCCCCTCAGAAACATTCATAGTGAGAGGCCAGGCTGCCCTGTGTGATGCTCAGGCCTGTGCTTGTCACAGGGGGTCTGTGACTGGCAGCAGCGCGCAGCGGTCTCTTGGACCATCTAAGTCATTGTGTCCATGCGTCGCCAAAGAGCCTGCCTGGAAAAGCCAGAAGATCTGCCGGCCCAGCCTCAAGGTTTCTGTCTGGATGCGAACAGACCCATTCAATACCTGCCCGAGCTCCAGCTGAGCACCCCTGGGCAACATCTTGGTAGCACCTACTGGGAATGCAAAATCAAATGAAGTTTCTCCTCTGCAGGTTTTTCAAGAAGTCTGATCAGAAGAATCTTAGAAACTGGAAAATGAATGGCAGAGAAGAAAGAAAATATCTTCATATTTCTAAACTTTCTGAGTTTTTATATATGTATATATTTTTTACAGTGGAATTTTATTGTCTTAGTTTCTCTGACCTCTAAAATATTTTTTAGAAGTCACATCTTCATATGAGATAAGTTATTATGGTTCATAGTATCTATGCAAATTATAAATTGAATCATTCAAATGTGAAATAGTAGGAAGAGAAGTTAGTTCACATTAGCACAAAGAGAATTGAAATCAATAAGTGATACCAGTTACTGCCAGTCATACCAGTTGCCTACCAGATTGTGCGCTCAGTGCCTTTAGTCTTTACAAAAGACCTATGGGGCGGGAGGGTATAGCTCAAGCAGTAGAGCGCATGCTTAGCATGTACAAGGTCCTGGGTTCAATCCCCAGTACCTCCTCTAAAAATAAATAAATAAACCTAATTACCTCCCTCCTGCCCCCCCCCCCACCAAAAAAAAGACCTATGAAGAATATAGATTCTTGTCCTCATCTTAACAGATGAAAAGACTGAGCACAGAAATTTAGGTAATCTGCCAGGGTCTCAGAGCTCAGATTTGAAGTTCGACCTCTGACCACACACCCTAGCCCTTAGCTCCTGAGTGGCCCTCCTGAAGTGCAGACAAGACAATTTCTCTAGGGGTCAGTGAGGGGACACTTAAGGCTTGACAGATCCAAGCCCTTGGCTGCCTTTTACATTCTTACAGAAAGGCCCTGGTTCTGTTTTGTGTCCGGAGAGTAAGCTCTGGGGCCTGGAGAGAGGCTCTGAATACCCTCAGCCCCTCTCAGGAGGCCCAGTGGGGTTGAGGATCTACGGCAGCTGCAGACCTCCAGACAGGAGGACCAAGAGCACTGGTCTTCCAGATAACCAGGCCAGGGGACAGATGGGGCAGGAGGGCCTCTGTTCGCCTGCGTCCTGGGCTGCCTGCCATGGACGTGGTTGGCACATGCGAGTGGTCCAGCGCTGCTTGGCCTTCAGCCTTTGGGGTTTTGATGGGAGGGCATCTGTGTCATAGAGGTGGGGGTACGGAGGTCCATCCTGAGGGAATAATGGAAGCAGTGGTCCCACCGCTGAGAGAGCCATCCTTTGGGAATAGAAGCAAGTTATCCAGAGTAGGAAGACGTTGGCCCAGCCAGCCTGCTGGTAGAGAAACACAGTCAAGACTTGACTTACTTGCCAAGAACAGTTCTCTTTTGGTCTAAAATGAGTTCTAGACCTTAGGTGAGCAAGTGGAGTAACACGTGTATCCTTCTTTGTCTTCAGTCATGGGACATTTTTTTCCGGAACACCAATGCCGGAGCGCCCCCGGGCACCGCCTACCAGAGCCCGCTCCCCCTGAGCCCAGGCTCCCTGTCAGCTGTGGCCAGAGCGCAGCCCCTGGTGGGAGCCCAGCCCAGCGTGGACAAGCTGGTGGAGGACCACTTGGCAGTGCAGTCTCTCATCAGGGCCTACCAGGTAAGGTGTCGCCGGCCGACCGGCCACCCATGAGAGAGCGCCACACTGACCATCAGTGTTGTCATTTGACTTTCACCCCCACCAAACACCAGGCGCTCTCTCCCTGCTCCTGCTCTGGAGTCCAGGGAGGCAGAAATGAAATATAACAAGAGAGAAGGGGCCAAGACAGTCTTACCCTGTTTGAGCAAATCCCCTCCCTCCTTTAGCACCTACCCTTATTTCCTTCCATAAGTTGGCAAGAATGGTTTGTGGGCAAGAAAATGCAGTCAGTTCCCGGGCATCAGAGGAAGTCCCGATCGCCAGGAGCGAGCAGTGACCAGGAGGCGTGTGCTGCTCCGAGAGGTGCTGCCCCTTCTCAGTTGCTAGGACCCAAACACAATAAGAGAAAAGGAACCTGTAGGGTTTGGGGACAGAAGCAGAGCCCAGGGAAGCGGGAGAGGCAGAGGAGGGGCCCTGTCTCCAAGAGCATCCCAGTTAGCAGTCAGCCCCATCGGTGAGGGCCGTGCACACGAGGCTTCCTGGCCTTTCTCAGAGCCCAGGAGCCTCTTCCAGGATACCCGCCTGGCATGGAGAAGAGCCCGGAATTCAGACCTTATCACCTGGTCTGTGAGTAGCTCTGAGGAGGGAAGGAGGAGCAGTCAGACCGGAGTGTCCCTTCCAGGAGCCCCCAGAACCCAGGCTCCCTGCGGCGTCTCTGGCCTCACTGCAGCATGGCGGGGGAGTCACCATGGAGTTCGCCTCTCTCCGGCGCTGTTTCCTGGACCATTCTCCTCTGCCCACAGGGCCACTTGCCACAGGTGTCGGGACAAGGTAGCACAGGGGACAGCGAAGCCTGGTGAGTCAGGCTCTCCCCTGAGGGCAGATGAAGAGAGACGCACAGAGCTGTGTAAACAGACAGCCTCGTGCTCTCGAGTGCCATTCACAGCAGGCATTTCTGAACAAAAGAGGTGTAGTTGGTGTGTTCTGGCTGCTGCCTGCGCTCCTTCAGCCTCAGTGGCTTCCCAGCAGCTGCTCCTCTTTCCCGATTGCTAGTGAGAAATTGCAGATAAAATATCCAACACTTAAAGGAACAAAATCAGAAGGGATCTTCTCTCTCCTTTTGTTTTTAAATAGTGCAGCTCAGATGCTGAAGGCCCTGCTGGAGCTGTCTTCTGTTGTCCCTGCTGGGTCTGTCCCGTCAGCAGGGCCAGGGCGGCAGTCCCCAGGGCAGACCTCTGCACCAGGTGGCGTCTCTCCAGCCCACCCCACACTTCCACCTCCCCTTATTGCGTAGGGACTTTTGCACGTTCTAAGTGGAGTAGGCTTCACACTGGGGTGAAAGTCCTCAGCATCTCCCATTTTCGGTTTATCCCGGAAAACCGTATATGGATCTCAAGAAATGGGTCCTTTTACACTGCCAGGTTCATCATAACCGGAGAAGTATATCCCTTTTTTATAGAAGTGCCTTTATGCACAACACTGCTTTAAAATATCTATCCAAAGGCTTTTTAAACACCAGTTTTGTTGTTGGGGTTCATTGGGGCTCTCAGGGAAAGGTCTGACCAGTATATCACCCACCCCCACCCCCCAAGCCCACAGGACCTGCTTAATGACTGCTTGTGTTATTGCTTCCAGGTCAGGGGTCACCACATTGCAAAACTTGATCCTCTCGGAATTAGTTGTGTAAATTTTGATGATGCTCCAGTAACTGTTTCTTCAAACGTGGGTGAGAATTAATCTGTAAACACTAATTTTAATGTGATTTTACTTTTTTTTACCCCTTCCCTCTTTTTTTTCTCCTGTCCTTTTGTGTGTGTCCTTCCCTCTCCATCGCTGGCCCATTCGTAGATTCGAGGGCACCATGTAGCACAGCTGGACCCCCTGGGAATTTTGGATGCTGATCTGGACTCCTCCGTGCCCGCTGATATTATCTCATCCACAGACAAACTTGGTGAGGGTCTGAGAGCAGTCAGCACTGCACTGCTTGGCTCCTGTCTCTGTGTCACAGCTTGTGACAGCCAGGACGTCCACAGGCGGAAGGGAAAGACTCTTAAGTTTCCTTTGTTCTGATCACTTGACATTTATCGGTCATGCAGCCTTAGTGTGTTGGGGCTAGTCATTTTTAATCCCAGTTTTCCAGCCAGATTGGATAAGCTTAATTGTCTTAAGTCTCAAAATTGGGAAGTAAAATTTGGGGCAGAAAAGGTTTGTGGCCCAGAGAAAAAGATGACCCACCCAGGCAGGCGGGTCAGAAGCTATGCCAGAGGCTGGCTCGTCTGGCTCCGGTTTCCAAATCTCAGGGCAGTGTGGCCTCTGCCTTGTCACACGCTGTCCGCTCTGAAGCACAGGGTGGCCTGCCTTGGACAGGGCGAACTCTAGAGCAAGTGGTGCAGTTTGGGTGTCCAGATCCTCACATGCCGGTGATCACACTGAGGAAACTTTGGAAGGCGTCCCCGGCGTGCAGGGAGGCGCAGGTGTGCGGCACACCGGCCGTGGTTGTCACTGTTCCCCGCACCCCTCCTCCGTCAGAAGCGCAGGGGCGTGGCTGGGCTCACACCTGCGGTTGCTTTCTCGAGTTAACCTGCTCTAAGTCACCGTGCAGCTAACCTGTGCTACAGAGATGATGTGACTAATTTGGAAATGGCCAAGGGTGTTCCCAAGAAACACTGTGCATGCTAATGAAACTGATGATTGCCCACCTGCCTACTGCTGCTCTTTGAGAGGAGGTGACCCTTACCTCCTCCCGGTAACAGCCTAACGCTCTGCGGTACCCCGATGCCCTTCTAGGCATTTCCAGGTTATGACCTGGGAGGTCAGGCACTGGTCAGGCACTGGTCAGGTAAGGCTAGGTTTCAGACAGCATTGGGCTCTGGGATTGCTGTTAGAGGTTTGTCACTGCTCTGTCTTCATTTTAGAAACATGCCTAGGTAACACAGGGTTTCCTCCACTTTGTACCTGCACTTTTAGCAGTTTGGGGAAGAAAGAGTAGAGAAATCTTCCTGAATATGACAGAACAGGGCCAGTTCAGATGGTCAGCAGGACATGGGTTGAATGAATCCTGATACTTCTATTGAGTGACAACAACTTCGTGCTCCCAAGAAGTGGGCTTCTCTGGGCTTCTTCCTGGAGGACGCCTGGGGCCTCTTTCGTCCTCGTCGTCACTGAGCCTCTCTGCAGCACCCAGGCCCGACCCACCCTAGGCTAACCTGTGCTGAAGCTCCCTCGGCACCGGCACCGAGAGTCCTCCCCAGGTGCTTGGTTCAGGGCAGACCCCACCCCTCCACCCCTCCACCTCTCCACCCCTCCCACCTGGAGCCATCTCTCCAGGGAGGGGCCCTGACTGCTGAGCCAGGCCCAGGGCAGGCCACAGAGGCTAGCGTCCCATGCACAGTAAAGCATTTAAACAAGAAAGGCAGGTGGGAGGTGGGGTCTCCTTGTCCCATCCAGAACTGCATCTCCCCTGTTCCTTTCCCCAGTAGCATCCATGGTTGTCAGTTTCTTGGTGTCAAAATGGACCTTTTTCAGTGGTTCCCAAGCCACTAGAACTGCCTGGGGGCGCCAAGAGGTCTTCTCTGTCCCGCTTGAGACTGGTTGTGTCTAGACGGTGCCACGGCCAACCGGCACAGGCAGAAGTTTCTTGAAAGCTACCCAGGCGCCTCTAACCCAGAAGTCTATGAAGGCTGAGAAACCCCAGGCCTGTTGATACCACCAGTCTGTCAGTTCACAACTCTCACCAGGGGCAGAGGCGGGGCTTCTGTCGCTCTTTCTAGTCTTTCTAGGCCATCCCGGCCTTGCACATTCCACTCTGGACTAGTGTCCCAGCATGTCTGTGCTTCTGTGAGGTTTGGCATCAACATAGCAAGGTGAACGGGCAAGAGGACATTACAAACCAGGGATGCACCAAGGTGACATTAGCGCTTCCTGCGCTCTTGTGAGGGAGAAACACAGCCCCCTCTGGCTGGGAGCCCTTCAGAACCACCAGGATAAAGTTGGGGAGCAGCCCCTCTGCAGGAGAAAAGTGCATTTCATTTGAGAATTTGAAATTGTGTGACGTAAAAGCCATGATAAATGGAAACAGGATAAACCCATTATGTATTTGAATCGGCATTAGTCTTGGATTATCTCACCCTTGACATGTGTGGGTGTTTAAGAAAACAGCTGGTCCAACAGGACCACTCTGTTCGGGGGCACTGGACAGTCCCTAGGGCGATTCACTGCCCATCATCTCATCCAAACCTCAAGGCCTGGCCTCTGGAGCCAACTCCCCCTGCCAGGACTCCCTGTGTGCCCCTGTCTCCTCATCTGTAAGGTTGTCTCAAAATTAAATAAACTCCCTGCAGGAGCGCCTGGAGCTTACTCGGCCCCATCAGAGTGTGAGCTACTCTGATTATTAACAGTCTGTTGAGATGAGCAGCTGCTGGTCTCTCTGGTAAAGAGACATATTTAGAAACAGAGATGGAGCAGATAAGCCAGAGTCTGGTAGTAGTAAGGGCCGGGCTGCAGCCTGAGTCGCGAGGAGGCAGGGCAGCTCCGGTGCAGAAACCTGTCAAAGCGGGGTGGTCGGCATGGCCCACGTGTAAGCCTGGGGTGAGAGAGTGAGCGCGGTGGTGTTTCGTGTCACACAGCAGCCTTCCCCAGCCTTGCGTCCCTCTCACCAAGCCTCTGAGCCGCCTTCCTTTCTCCCTGTGGACGCAAGCACAGTTTCTCCATCCTCTTGTGGGGAAACTGAGGCATGGGCAGTGATCCCACCCCACACGTCTGAGAGCACGTCCTGCTGTTGGAGCACAGGGGCTGGAGGAGCAGGGACGAGCCTTGCCTGGGTGAAGGCAAGAAGCCATCCCCAAGGGCAGCGCTAGCCAGTGCAGGTCTGCAGTGTAAGCAGGGCTTAGGGTCCTTCATAATTTTTTTTTTCCTTTCAGAATTTTTTAAATAAGGTGGATCATGTGAAAAGTTTCCACCGGGTTCTTGCCCTTCCCTGACCAATTTTGAGAGGATTGGGAAATGCTAGCCTAGGGTCCTTATCCTAACATCTTGGAAATGTTCCCGGCCCCTGAAGTCACGGGTAGAAAGAGAATTAACAGGTGAACTCTTACCTGGCACAGGAGACTTGGCAGATGTGCCCAGCTCCTGGATGGTCCAGGAATTTCAGGATTACCATCAGACATGTGCACACACAACATACTGTGAATGCAGAAGAAACATTGTTGAGATGGTGGAGTTTGTGATTATTTTAAGTGAAATTTAAAAAAAATCAACGTTAGAACAGTTTCTCAGTTAGATGTGGGTTACGTTCCAAGGTTGTCCAGTAATTGCTAGGAACGGGGTGGCCTTTTCCCAGGATGTGTTATGTTGGGGGCCAGGTTCCAGGTGGCCCCAGAAGCATATCTTAATTTATGCCAGGTAGGGTGGAGGAGGGTTGGGAGCTCCCGCCTGAGATGCCTGGGCACGCATTCCGCGTTCCTCCCTAGAGAGGCCGCTGGGAGGCTCCAGGCAGGATTGGGTTTCCTAGCGAGGCCTCTCCTGGTTGGCTGTAAAGAAGGGTCAGGCTGCGGCTTTTGACAGCCTGCCCCTTGGGGTCAGGGTTGTTTCTATTTTAAGTAGAAACAAATCAAGTGTAGACAACTTGTAGGCTCTTTCGCCTTCTGACGAGTCCTGTGCTGGCTTCACTGGGGTGGGGAAGGGGCATCAGGCAGTCTTGTTTCTGGCCGAAGCCGAACTGCCCTAGGCTGGCTGGGGATGTGGAGAAAGTTCTCATTAGCTCTTGCCCTCAGTTTCCTCTCCTCTTTCAAATGCAGCTTTGGAATTAGATTCCAGCTTAAAAATGCCATCATCTGTGGTTTCTGTATAAATTCTGTAAGTGTAACTGCTCACAGTGACAAAAATGAAATTAATTTAAATACGAGATTTAAACATAATTAAAGGAGAACCCAAAACGTAAATTCTATAACTAAAAGCAAAGAAAGCCTGAAAACTCCTCCTCCTGTTTATCATTAGTGTTTGCAAATTGTCAGTCTTAGGAAATGAACTTGAGTTAAATAGTTAAAAGTCCAAATTATGGCAACATTTTAGCTACTTTAAGTGAATTAGTTCAGGACACGGGGTCTCCCACCCTTCTGACCTTCCAGGGAGCTCTTTCTGGTCCAGTTTTGCTCCCTTGATGGCTGGAAAGAATGAGCTAAAAATAGAATTGAATTTTAATCAACTTTCATAATTTTAGAGCAACAGAGAGCAGTTGACTTAACATTTCCTGGCTGCTCTGTACAGTATGTAGAACCACCACCAGTAAGTGAAGAGTCGAGGTCAGGATCCCCAGGTGACTCAGGAGGACAGGCCAAGCCAAGGTCATGGTGGGTATGTCCCCCTGCAGGGGTGGCCTCCCCCTTGGACGCCCAGAAACTGGCAGACCGAGGCACACCCAGGCCCAGCGTCACATCCCTGCTCCTTGCCCACTGTGCTTGACTTGGAAGCACCACTGTCAAAGCCCAGCTGCTTTTTGTCTCTCCGGCAGAGCATCTTGTTCTCATCAAGGAGTAATTTTTTTAAATGTTTTAAAGTGTTCAGGTGCTGGGAATCCCATGTGCTTTCTGTAAATGACAACCAGAATATCTTCTGTTCTCTTTTCACTCTCCTTTGGTTTGTGTCTTTTGTTTGCATTTTATTTTAAAAATCCCCAGAAGGTGTAGATAAAAATAAAGCATCCACATACCCAGTGCCCAGAGTGAACAAATTTAAGCATCGTATGTTACCTTGAGATCTGTTTAACAGCTGTGCATTTGCAGTTCCCTTTGAGGATGGGGGGCGGGGTGGGGCATGTTCCACAGATACTGCTGATGGCTGCCTGGCGTGGTCCTCTGTCTTGATTCTGAGGATTGAGGGGGAAAAAATGAGGATTCTTCATCCTTACCTTAAGCAAAGCATCCATGCTTTTGTGCAGAACCTGGATGTTCCATTGTCTTAAGAGCCGCTGGCTCGCAGGTCTTTGGTGGGTGGAGAGGACTAGAGCTTTGCCCACACAGAGCAGGAGTCCCTGCATCTTCTCTGAGTCAGGGTTCTTGCCAGCAGCGTCCAAAGGCACATCAGTTGGCCTTCCATTGCACTCCTAGGACAGACAGGAGCCTCAGTGACGGTGACCATGCTCTGTCCCCTTGGCCATCGGGCCCACGCTCCCGGGAACCAGGGTCAGGAGTTGTTTGGTGTGTCCAGATCAACATCTTGATTTTCACCAGCACCGGGCAGGCTTCCAGGTGTGGGGCAGGAGTGCGTGCAGCCGTGCATGCGTGTGTCTCTGTGTTTTGAGCACCTGAGCTGCCCCGTCCTGGTCCTGCCTTCTCGAGAGGGGAGACCGAGGACCCACCTTCCACTCTCTGTTTAAAATCTGGCAGGATCTTGAGGTTTAGGGTCTAGTCTATTGCCTGATGCTCCAGTTCTGAGGAATGGGACTCTAAAAATCAGGCTTTTTCATTTTCTTTTCGCCAGTGTTTTCATCTCAGGGTAGTCTAGACTGGGTGGATTTGACTTCCCAGGAGAGCTCTGTGTTGGCCACTTCTTCAAGACGGGGAAGTAAGGACGTTTCAGCCACCGCCCCCCGATGGCTTCTCAGCTTCAGAGAGAGGCCTTTCCCTCCTTCTGATCACCTTACTCCAGCTGTTCATGGACAGTTTCCATGTTTACCAAAGTAGCTCCATGCAGATCACGTAACCCACCCCGTTCTCCTTCAATGTCTGTGTCTGTGTGACAGTGTCTGTGCCACCCGTTACTGCGGTAATGGTGTAGGGTTTTGGGTGTTCTGGTTTCTTTTTTTTTTTTTTAACTAACTCTCACCTGTCTTTTTCCCTCTGCGCTCACCCATGCTACCCCACTCTGCCTCTCAGATCTTGCAGTTTTCAAGGAACGACTTCGAATGCTAACAGTAGGAGGTATGAAAATAATGAGCCTTTCACTTTTTCTGGAGCTAAGGACTTCATTTGAACTGGATGTGCAACTTTCCCTAGCATGCAACTTGGGGAAAGTTGACACAACTCTGTCCAATGTTCTGAAGTTTGTTCATTGTTTTGAAATATGTTTTTTCCCCGTCATTTAGCTGTTAATCCAACAGGTAGAGCTACTTGCAGTGTCATTTTTGTTTCTGTCCATTCGGTGTCCTAAAGAGCATTTTCACCTTCACACGTGTCTCACCGCCGCTTCGCTGGGCTTCCGTCTTTGGTATGGGCTGTCTCTAGCTCCTGCTGTACCCAGCAGGGACCCAAGGCCACACCACATTCTGCATGTTGGCTCATCCTTTCCTCCACGTTCTGCACTGTGCCTTTGACCGGACTCTGGATTCTTTCAGATTCTGCTTCCTGGGCATTTTTGACAAGATTTCCCATTTGAGCTTCCATGTTTGAAGGACAACTGAAGTATTGATAAAAAGTTACTTAATGAAGTAAGGAATCCTTAATGACCCTTGGTTCTGGGCAGAGCACCTTTGAAGAATCCAGAGTGGGGTGCTGGGGTGGGGGTCATCTGCCTGCTGTCACTCACCCCAGGAGCCAGTCTTCCTTCCATGCCAGGCATCACTCAGAAGTTCTCTTTTTCCATCAACTTACTCATAATATCTGTAAGACTCTAGTTTTGATGACATTTTTTATTTTGAGATAATCATAGATTCATATGCAATTGTGACAGATAACAGAGAAATCCTCATATGCCTTTCAGCCAGTGCCCCTAGCAGGGACATCTTGTAAAGCATAGTGCATCACACCAGGATGCTGACACTGACAGCGGTCAAGCCACAGACATCTCCATCACTCCAGGGGTCATTCCTGCTGCCCCTCTGTAGCCACACTCCCTCCCTCTCCATCCCACCCCTATGTTTGACCCCTGGCAACTACTGTTCTGTTCTCTGTTTCTATAATTTTGTCATTTCAAGAATGTGATGCAGATCACAGAATGCAGTGTTTTGGGATTGGCATTTTTCAATCAGCATGATTTTCTAACACTAGTTTTTTTTTCCTTTTTATTGCTGAGTGGCATTCCTTGCCATAGGTATCCCACCATACATTCATTGACAGACCTGTGTATTTCATTCTTTGACTAACAGGTCTTTTACAGAGCAAAAGTTTTAAATTCTGATGAAGTCCAGTGTATCATTTTTCCCTTTATGGGTCATGTTTTTAGTATCAAATCTAAGAACTCTTTTCTTAGCTCTATATCCTGAAGATTTTCTCCTCTGTAGTTTTCTAAAGGTTTTCTAGTTTTGCATTTTACATTTACATCTGTGATCCCTATTGGGTTCATTTCTGCATAAGATATGAAGTTTAGATCAAGGTTTGTTTCTTTGTGGACTATGGATGTCAAATCACTCCAGCATCATTAACTGAAAAGTTTATCCTTCTTTCACTGACTTGCTTTTGCACTTTTATCAAAAGTCAGTTGGACTTATTCAGTGGATCTGTATCTGGGTTTCCTGTTCTTTCCTTTAAGGTATGTGTCTTTCCACCAGTACCACACTGTCTTGATTACTGTAGCTCCTGAACTTTATTTTCCTTTTTCAGAATTGCCTTGCCTATTCTGGGACCTGTCTTTTTCCATACAAATTTTAAAATAAGCATGTCTATGTTTATAAAAACTCTTGCTGACATAGTGGTGGAAATTGTGTTAAACCTACAGATCATTCTGGGGAGAATTGACATCTTTACTCTGTTGCCTTCCAATCCATGAACATAGTATGTCTCTCGTGTATTTAACTCTTCTTTGATTTCTTTCATCAGCTTTTTGTAGTCTTCAGCATACAAGTTTTATACATGTTTTGTTAGATTTACATGTAAGTATTTCCTTTTTAAAATAAATTTTAGTGTCCATATGTTCGTTACTAATATCTAGGAATACAGTTGATTTTTGTGTTCGTATTGTGACCTTGCTGAGCCCACTTTTTCTAGAACTTTTTTTTGGTAGATTCTTTAGGATTTTTTGGGTAGACAGTCATCTCATCTGAAAATAGGAACAATTGTTTCTTCCTTTCCAGTCTGTGTGCCTTTTATTTCCTTTTCTTGCCCAATTACTTTGGCTGGATCTTCCAGCACTAAGTGGAATAAAAGTCATGAGAATGCACATCTTTATGTTGTTCCTGATCTTAGGGAGAGAACATGCAGTCTCTTACCACCAAGTACAATACAGCTGTGGATGTTTATAGATGCTCTTTATCAAGTTGAGGAAGTTCCCATCTACTTATTTTTTGATAGTTTTTGTTATGAAAAGGTGTTAAATTTTGTCAGATACTTTTTCTAATCTATTGATACAATTGTATGATTTTTCTTTTTTAACCTGATAATCTAGTGGATTATATTGATTGATTTTCAAATATTGAACCAAACTTATATTACTGGAATAAACCTGAGTTGGTCGTGGTATAGAATTCTTTTTTCATGTTGTTACATCTTTTTTTTTTTTTTGCATCTATATTCATGAAGGATATTGGTCTGTAATTTTTTTTTCTGTCCTTATCTGCTCTTGATATCAGGGTGTCTAGCTTCATAAAATAAGTTGAAAAGTTGTCTTCCTATTCTGTTTTCTGAAAGAGATTGTGCAGAATTGGTATTAATTCTTCTTTAAACATTCAGTAGAATTCCCCAGCAAAACCATCAGGTTTAGAAATTTCTTTTTCAGAAGCTTTTTATTTATGAATTCAATTTCCTTAATAGTCATAGAGCTGTTCAGATTATCTGTTTCATATTGGATGGGTAACAGCAGTTTGTGTTGTTCTAGAAATGGTTCATTTCATCTGTGTTGTGAAGTTTATTTGTAAAAAGTTGTTCATAGTTTCCTTTAGTATCTTTTTTTTTCTCTTGTGGGGAAGGAGGTAATTAGGTTTATTTATTTTTAGAGGAAGTACAAGGGATTGAACCCAGGACCTTGTGCATGCTAAGCATGCACTCTACCACTTGATGTATACCCTCCCCATCACCTTTAGTGTCTTTTTGATATCTGCCAAGTCTGTATTAATGCCCCATTCCTGATACTGGTTTTTGGTATCTTCTCTTTTTCTTTGTTAGTCCTGTTAGAAGTTTGTCAATGTTACTGATCTTTCCAAAGCAACAGCTGCCTGTTTCATTGATTTTTCTCTGTTGTTTTGCAGTTTTCAATTTCATTGATTTCTACTCTTTATTATTTCTTTACTTCTATTTTCTTTGTGGGATTGGGTTTTTTTCTTCTTCTTCTTCTTTTTCTTGTGATGTGATCTTAGATTACTGATTAGAGCCTTTTCCTCTTTCCTAATGTTTGCATTTACTGCTGTAAAATTCCTTCTCAGAACAGCTTTATCTCTCCCACATACTTTGACATGTTGTGTTTTCATTTCCATTCAGCTCAGTGTATTTTTTGGTATCCCTTATTATTTCCTCTTTGACCCATGGATTATTAGGAAGGTTGTGTTTTGTTTCCAAGAATCTGAAGATTTTTCTTTTACCTTTCTTCTATTGATTTCTAGTTTGATTCCATTGTGGTTGGAGAATGCACTCCATATAATTTCATTTCTGCTGAATTTGTTGAGGTCTTTGTGGCCTGGTGTATTATCTGTCTTGGCATATGGAAGGAATGTGTATTCCGCTGTTGTTGGGTGACGTGTTCTATAAATGTCCATTCCATCCTGTAGGTTGTTGAGTCCTTCTACATCCTTGCTAATTTTCTATCCACTTATTTAATCAATTATTGAGTGAAGGGTTTTGAAGTCTCCAGACAAACTGCAGGTTTGTCTATTTCTCTTTTCAGTCCTCAGTTGGGTTCATATGTTGTGCATCTCTGTTGTTTGGGGCATACACATTGAGGATTGCTACGTCTTCTGGGTGGATTGACCTTTTTATCACCGTGCAGTGTTTCTGTCTCTAGTAATTTTCTTTGCTGTGATGTCTACTTTATTTGATGATAGTATAGCTACTCCTGCTTTTGTTTGATTGTGTTTATATGATACATCTGCCGTCCTTTTACTTTGTCTGCCTAAATCTTATAGACAAGCATATGGTTGGGTCCTGTTTTTTCAAGCCACTCCATCAATCTGTGTCTTCTATGTGGTATATTTAGATCATTTATATTTAATGTAATTTTTGATATTTTAGAGCTTAAGTCTACCATTTTATTTTTCATTTTCTGTTTGTCCTTTTTTTCATTTTTCTGCTTTCTTTTTCCTGACTTGTGTGAGTTTTTAAGCCTGTACTTAAAAATTCCATTTTTATTTGTATGTAGTCTTTTTGATCATACCTCTTTGTTTTTAGTGGTTTTTAGCCTTGTTAGTGATTTTTTTAGATATGACATTATGTACATAACATCACAGTCTACTGGTGTCATCATTTTACCAGTTCAAGTGAAGAGTGCATACCTCCCTTTACATCCTTTCACCTTCTCCATTTAAAATATACAATAGCCTTAAATATTTTCTCTACATATGTTTAGAAACACATCAGACAGTGTGATAATTTTGCTTCAGTCATCAGACATAATTTAGAAGACTCAAGAAGAAAAGGAAAGTCTGTTTTATTTACCTTTATTTTTTATTTCCATGGTCTTTCTTCCTTCTGTCAAGATTCCTTCTGATCTCATTTCCTTTCTGTTCAGAGAACTTCCTTTAGCCATTCATTTAGGGTGACAGGCTCTCTTAGTTCCCTTCATCTGAAAATGCCTTGATTTCTCCTTCATTCCTTCAGGATATTATCACTGTACATAGGATTCTGGGGAGACAGTTCTTTTCTTTCAGCTCTGGTGAGTGTGGCGCCACTTCCTTCTTGCCTCCGTGGCTTCTGATGAGAAATCCACTGTTGTTCCAGTTGTTTTGCCCCCTAGACAGGGTGTCACTTTGCTCTAACTGCTTTCAAGATTTTTTTTTTCTGTCTTTAAATTCAGAGGTTTAATTGTGACATGTTTTGATGTGGATTTCTTTGGATTCTGTGAGTTCCCTGAGCTTGAATCTGTGAGTTAAGTCGTTCTGCCATATTTGGGAAGTTTTCAGCCTCCCTCTTTCTCTTGTCCGTCTGGGATTGATCAACACAAATGTGAAATCTTTTATTGTAGCATCACATGTCCTCAAGACTTTCTTGAATTTTTTTCCCAGTCTGTTTTCTCTGTATTCTTCAGAATGGTTCATTTCTGTTGTTCTGTCTTAAAGTTCATTGATCCTCTGTCCCCTGATGATGCCATTGAGCCCATCTACTGAGTTTTAATTGGGGTTATTACATTTTGCAGTTTCAAAATTTCCTGTTTGGTTATTCTTTGTATCTTCATTTTTGGCAGAGACTCTGTTTCTTTGCTGAGACTTAATTTTTTTTTTCATTTGTCTCTGCCATGTTCTAAGTGCTCACTGAAACCATTTGATAATGGCTCCTTGAGAATTGTAGTCAGATAATTCTGACATCTGTGTCATTTTGGTGTTAGTGTCTATTGATTATCTTTCCTCATTCAATCTGACGTATTCCTGGTTCTTGTTATGAGTGATCCTTTATATATATGTAAACCAGGACATTTTGGGTATTGTGAGATTTGGGATCTTATTTAAATCTTTATGGTGGAGCTTCTCTGAACACTGCTCTGGTAGGGAGGGGCCCACCTAGTTACTCCCAGGTGGGGATGGACGATGTCCTGGGCCCCCAAGTTCTCTGTTGATGTTGGGGTTGTGAAAGTTTGGGATCCCTCTTGGGCCTTCTCTGAAACCTTGAGTGGGGTCAGAGGTCAGAGTTACAGCCTAACAAAGGTGTTTGTGGGGCTGCAGTGTCTTCTATGTGTTTGGGTGGAATAGAGCAGTTATGGTCTAAAAGTCTCCTGTCCTGCTAGGCTGCCCTTCTCCTGACCCTTTAAACAGAGCAGCTTTTGTTTGGGCTATTTTGGTGTACAGTTGTAGAAATTTCTGGATTTTTTGCTCCAAGTGTGGGTTCTGGGAGCCCAAAAGGAAACCCAGGGACCTCCCTGGCTGGTTGGCCTTTTTCTCCACCTTTTCACATCGTCCTGTGTTTGTTTTATATACAATTTCTGGGGGGGTTTAGTTTCATTTTGTTGAGGTATCAGTGGGAATACATCTACACTGCCTTCTCAGAAGCAGACGTCTGTAGATTTAATGTCTCAAGTGACCAGACAACTCAGAAGCAAGGTTGGCAGTTTTGAAATTCAGTAGTTCAGCCCACCAATGGTCCGTTCAGGGTGGTGGAAGTGAAGAATCGCACATGTGGTGAGGCCAAGGGCTCTTCATGCTAAAAGATCACAGCAGGCTGTTTTCTCCTCTGGGGTAACACACCTCATCGGTTAACTCCACGATCAAAATGTTCCCAACAGACCGTGCGCTCTTGGGATGCTCCAGTTCCCAGGACTGGAGTTCCCTGGTGCTGAGTACCCCCTGCTTAGTGTTTCCACTAGGAAAAATGCCCCGCCAAGTACCTTTGGTTTTCCTCCATAAACACCAGAAGCTGGGCTGTGAATGGCCAGAGCCATGCCTTTACCAGGCCCACGTGATGGCCCATCCTCATTCTTGTTAGAACAGCCCCAGGAAACAGGTGCATAACTTAACCATCACCACCGCCCAGGTGAAAAAAAAAATCAGTTTTAATAAAAAAGGTTGGGAAACGTAGACTTTAAAAAATATGTCCTAAAGCATTAGATAAATTAAGGCCAAGGTTCCCAAGCCAGCGTGAATAGGGACCCCTGGGGAGGGTCCTGGCCCACCCGTGACTGGTTGAGTCAATTCTGGTGTTGGAGCCTGGAAATGTGCTTTTTCACAAATCTCCCAGAGATCCAGATACACAGCTGTGTTTGCGAGCAATTGCTTGGGTCCCATACTGGACCGTTACATCTTACTTACACTTAATTAGGCCAAGAAATGGGAGAACGTCTCATCTTGCAGAGTCAGGCGTTAGAGACTGTGGGTGCATGTTTCGAGTTTCACTTTTCATCCTGGCGTCTGGGATGTTGGTGTGATGGGATCCCAAGCGGCACCTTGCCTCACTCCAGCCGATATTTTGTTTCAGAGCAGAGGGGAGCCTAACCTGCAGTGTCACCTGACAGTTTCCCTCCAAATCTCTCCCCCTTTTGATAATTATTGCAACACGAAACCAGCATGTAATGCCCGAAAAAGAGCCCTTCCGTCACGTGTCGATCGATTTGAAATAGGCTTTCAGATGAGGAGGCACCTTGCACAGAGGCAGTGCTCAGTAGCAGTGATTAGTTGGTGACAGTCGGTCAGTGGCAGTCGGTTACTCAGCGATTAGGCAGTAACTCCGTCAGTGTTGGACTGGGGACGGTGAGAATCGGGTCTGTGACTGCCGATTGCTGTCTGGAGAATGCGGCTTTCTGTGCGGTGTGGAGTTCTTCCAGGAGAAGGGTGCCATCCGTGGTCCGAGGGCGGCTGGGGGATCCTCTGCTCTGCTGCCCGGCAGTTCTCCCACAGGCCACTCAACTTCTTGGTGACTGTCCCTCACTTCTCAGTCTCCTGGCTTCGTCACTCACCATACAGACATGCTGTCGCCATTAAGACATATATGACCTGTTCTAATCCAACTTCTCATTTTCTACTTGAATTCTCTCCTTAACAATTTTTCATTCGCTTTCTGATTGACTTACCCAGTGCTTTTTTCAAACCTAAACTGATCTGTGTCTTTGGGACCTTGAAATACATTTTTCTCCAAGTTATGAATAATTGGTGCACTGGACTAATATATGCATAATCTGAATTTTACTCTCATTTACCTATGATGCCAGTAATATACTCAGCTTCTGTTTGTTGCTAAAGTTTGTGTTTTCTGGCTGTCAAATAGTATTAATTTTCATATATATATATCAGAGGTTTTTATGATTTTTCTCTTCTCTTTTTTCTCCCCTGGGGAGTCCCTTCCCCTTTCCATAAACTGTGGCCCCTGTGTGGCTGTGCCCGTCTCTCCTCCCCCCCGCAGGGTTCTACGGCCTGGACGAGTCTGACCTGGACAAGGTCTTCCACCTGCCCACCACCACATTCATCGGGGGGCAGGAGTCGGCCCTTCCTCTGCGGGAGATCATCCGGCGCCTGGAGGTAAGAAGACACCAGCCGTTTTTAGAAAACTCTAGTGGGCTTGCTAAAGACTTGTGCTGGCACGAGGCCTGCACACTAGGTCCTTTTTTTTCTTGCTCCTATTTTTTTTTTTTCACGTGAAAGCAACATGTGTCTTGTCTTGTGTGTATATTTTAAGGGGCAGGTAATTAGGTTTCTTCATTGATTTCCGCTTGGAGGAGATACTGGGGATTGAACCCGGGACCTCTTGAGTACTGAGCATGCGCTCTACCAATTGAGCTATACCCTTCCCCCCATATATATCTTTTAATGTAAGGGAAAGGAAACTTTTTTGCTACTTTGTTGATGAAAATCCATTTTTTTAGTTTTACAGTCAACCATTAAAAAAAAAAGCAGAATTTGCTTTTAAGGCTTAAAAAAAAAATGTGTCCTAAAGCATTAAATAAATAAAACAATAAATAAATAAAGTGGTTTCCAAGCCAGCTTGAATAGGGACCCCTGGGGAGGTTCCTGGCCCACCCATGACCAGCTGAGTCAGTTCTGGTGTTGGAGGCTGGAAATGTGCGTTTTTACAAATCGCTCAGAGATTTAGAGTCACAGCTGTGTTTGCAGGCAGCTGCTTGAGTCCCAGGTTGTCCTGATCCCAGCGTTTGAAGGGGGCAGAGAGCCCTGCGTGACTCTCATTTCAGCCAGGCCGATGCCGGAGCCCAGGAATCGGACTCTTGTGGGACAGTTGGCCTGGACTCCAGGGGTCCTGGCCACAGCGCCCCCTGTCCCCAGAGAGCCCCGTGTCCGGAGCTCTTCCAAGAGAGCCTCCCATTTTGGCTTGTCCCAGCGGTAGACTACCCTGTTCTCACGGTTTACAGATATTTGTTTAAATTTACCTAAAGATGGTACATTAGGTGTATTTACACATGATACGATAGCTGGTATGATCTGGCTTAACTTAAGGTATGTTCTTGGTCCCGTGACATAAGGCTCAAGTTGCAGCTCTTTGAAAAACTTAGACCTAGTGCAACTTCTTGGCTTTCTAGCACTTGGCTTGCTAGAGAGCGCAGCCAGGAATCTGCACCTAAACCTTCCTGCCCTTTTCTCCTGGGGACTGAGCCAAGAACAGGAAAAACAGAACACGATCCAGGGACCCAGTAACTGTGCGTCCAAGTTAATAGCTAAATTCACACTGATAATGATGGAGACATAACTGATTTCTAGAGGTTTTGACCAAATAGTTTTGTTTGAGCTTTTAGTTGTTCAGTAATGGAAATACTGCCCCTGTCAGGCATAAGGAGCATGGGCTGCATTCTCCTACCTCCCTGTGGGAAGATGAGGAGGCAGCCCCCTCCCCCCTCCCCTCTGCTTTCCCCTCCCCCTTCTCCCCCTCCCCTGCCCCTTCCCCTTTTCCCTTCCTCCTCTCCCTTCCCCTCCCCTCCCCCTCTCCCTTCCCCTCCCCACTCCCCCATCCTCTCCCTCTCCTCTCTGCTAGGCTTACAGCTCAGACTTTGTTCCCAGGGAAGAAATGTCCTTTTTTTTTTCCTTTTTCAGTTTTATTAGGTAGAGTTATTGCAGTTCGACTGCACATACACATTGTATTGCATGTAAATACATATATACAATATGCTACACTTTTTTTAGTTTATTTACGTACTGATCATTGTTTCTAAGAACAGATTAGAGCTTTAGCTTTTTAAACTTACACAGTTATTAAAGGAACAAAGCCAACCACAAAATAAGAATCAACAGAATATGGTAATCCAATCATAAAGGAGGACGTGTCCTTTCTTAAGCTGATGGAAGGTTGAAGGCTCATGTTAACAGCCACTGTGGCCAGGCCACGTTTTCTCAAATGTGTTTGTCCAAAAGTACACCTTTTTCTGCAGATCAATAGATCAGGGCACCGTCAAGCTCAGGCAGAAGTGGTGACCAGTGCTGGCTCTGAAGTCGGGAGACAGACCAACACACTCCATCCCTGCGCTTCTTGTGCATCCAGTTTATCACATGTGGTGTCGTCAGGGAAGGGTGGTTAGGGGCTAATGAAAATGCCTTAAACAACAAGGTCTTTCCCAGCTCCGTTTTCTCTTTTTGGCCCTAAGCAAGATTTTCCTCCTCTTGCCTAAGATGATATCCAGAGTATTGTGGTTCGCCATTATTTTGAGTTGAGGTAAATGTTTCATTATCACGGAGCAGACATGCCGAGATACCCACACCTGCTCTGGAAGGTGGGAGTAAGAGAACAGAGACCTGGTGTCAGGTCTGGGCTCGCCGCCAGGACCCCGGGCACATCCTCACCCTGCATTGTGCCAGCCCGTTTCCGTATCTGTTGTGAAAACCAAAGGGGGTCACAGACAACTGCCACGCAGAACCTGGCACTCTGAGTGCTGGGTCAGCATGGCTGCTGCAAAGACGTTTGAAGGCATCTTGGGGGGCTCTGAAATGGATTACCACGCCAGGGCATTTCCTTCTTTAACTCCAGTGCTGATTCAGGCTTTGCTGTTGGCCCCTTATTCTGACCCCAGGACGGCTGGCAGGTGGAGGAGGGAGAGGAGTGTTGGTCACTTGGCTCAGCAAGGCTGTGAGCCCCTGCAGAAGGCTGCCCGGCACAGTCCCCAGGAGGGGTTTCTGGAGAGCTGCCTTCCTGACGCTCCATTCTCCTCGACCTCCCTGTTCCCTCTCTCACTCTGAATTCCTTTCCCACTGAGCCCTGCCCAAACCCAGGCTTCTGCCGGCGCAGACCTGGCCCGCACATTGCCCAGGTCACCCTAGGCTTTCGACGGGACACGTGGCCACCTTCCCAGCTGTGATTGGAGAGTGGTGTCATGGGAAGTGCCTACTCTGTCCGGGACCCTTTCTTTTATAATATATGCAGTCCTGCTTCCAGAGGACCTGACTTTCCCCCAGAGAAGTCAGTTATTAAAAGAAGAGTTTCAAATTTCAAACCCTGCGAATCTTAAGTGGCCACTGAGCTGTGGTATCCACCAGCCGCACAGGGCCTTTCTTTCTCACAGTTCTGGGCACAGCCTGGCCTGGAGGTCAGAGAAGCTGCCTTCCCCAGGAGCTTCCCAGTCCTCTGGCTGGTGCGTCTGGCCTCTGGCCACGAAGGGAGCTTGCCGTGGCCCAGAGGTCCTCACCATCCCCCTCCCTGCCTGGTGGGCTCTGTGCAACGTGGAGGAAGCATTTCATGGCCGGGTTCAGAGTGAGAGGGCTGGTGCCACGCTCGATCTCTGCCCCGGGTCACAGCTGGCTCTGTTGCACTTGAAAGGGAGGTCGCCTGTTCCTCCCAGCCTTCTGGCTGAGTGGGCAGTCACATACCATACCAGGTGAGCATCCCCTTGATTGTCTCTGTGTTGTGTGTGTGTGTGTAAAACAGATGGCGTACTGCCAGCACATTGGGGTGGAGTTCATGTTCATCAACGACCTGGAGCAGTGCCAGTGGATCCGGCAGAAATTTGAGACGCCCGGGATCATGCAGTTCACCAACGAGGAGAAGCGGACCCTGCTGGCCAGGCTGGTGCGGTCCACCAGGTATGGGCAGCGCTGGTCCCGTTGACTGGGGTGGATGGGTTTCAGGTGTGGCCACAGGCCCAGGAGAGCAAAGTTGGCTCCGGTGACATGGGTCTTCAGGCTGGCTTGGTTCCCGTCCAGGTTTGAGGAGTTCCTGCAGCGGAAGTGGTCATCTGAGAAGCGCTTTGGTCTGGAAGGCTGCGAGGTGCTGATTCCTGCCCTCAAGACCATCATCGACAAGTCAAGTGAGAACGGAGTGGACTACGTGATCATGGGGATGCCGCACAGGTACCTGGCCGCCCTTCGCGCATCCAGAGACCGGGGGTGGGGCAGTGGGAAAGCAGGGAGCCAGGCTCGCCCGGTGCCCAGGGTGAGCATCCCGGGAGCATCTCCCTCACTCAGCAGTCACTGTCATGCGAAATGGCCGTAAGTGCTTTCAGACAGGCATTTTGGCCTTTTGCCCTTGTCGGGAACACAACTGACAGAGGTTAACCTAGAGGGAAGGCCGCTCAGTGACACGGAACAGAGACCTCGGCTTGGAGTGGGCAGTGGAGGCAGAGGGTGGAGCATTCACCAAGGCTGGCAGCATTTCTCCTGCTTTCTGTCTCTTCCTCCCACCCTTTCGTGGCCTTCGGTGCTGGGCGGGCAGAGGCTGAGTGTCCGCTCTGGTCCCAGCACCTCTTGGACTGCAGACTGAGGCGCTGCCTGTCCCTCAGGGGAGGAGGTAGGGGGGAGACAGCGTTGCCTGCTGCCCGGGCAAGGCACAGCTCTCAGCCCTGCCCACCCCGGTGTGTCCCAGGGGGCGGCTGAACGTGCTTGCAAATGTCATCAGAAAGGAGCTGGAACAGATTTTCTGTCAGTTCGACTCAAAGCTGGAGGCAGCTGACGAGGTGAGACACTGATTTCTTTTAGAAACTGAGAGCATAGCCCCAACCCACACCAGACCCTGGCTCCACTTCTCGAGAAAGACTTACCAAGGCCTGGAATTTTCCATACCATTCATGAAGAAGGTGGCCAGTGGCCAACCTCTCGGAGAAGAGTGAGATCAGAGGTCTGGCCCCCACAGTCCTCCCTGCCGGGGGTGGGCCTGTGCCCCTCTGACTGAGGGGCACAGGTGGGAGCCGCTCTGGGAAAAGCCTTCCCATCTTTCCAGGAATGGGGGTTCTGGGAGTAGAGGTAGCGCAGGAGGAGTAAACATCTCCCAGCCCGGAATGAAGACTCGCTGTTTGTGCTGTCAGGGTTCTGGAGACGTGAAGTACCACCTGGGCATGTATCACCGGCGGATCAACCGCGTGACCGACAGGAACATCACCCTGTCGCTGGTGGCGAACCCGTCCCACCTCGAGGCCGCCGATCCCGTGGTGATGGGCAAGACCAAAGCTGAGCAGTTTTACTGCGGGGACACTGAGGGGAAGAAGGTAAGGCCGCGGGGACTGGCCAGGGGCAGCCCTGAGGCCAGACGGTCCAGGACGGACCCACAGCCCCAGGCACATCGCAGACCTCACGTTTCTGGAATTTAACAAAATATTCTGGATGGACTTTGAAGGAGCAGCAGTAGTGAGACGGTCCCGCTTACAGGTGTGCTTTCTCACAAGCTGTGAGCGCCAGAGCTATGCAGAGAAGGGTTTGCTTTTATGGTCACCACACTGGTGGGGAAGCCTGCCTTGCAGAATATCATGATGGGCAAAGAGGCGGTGTCGCCGAACAGGAAGAGTCTTAAGGAAAAGGTGTGGGTGAGCCTGAAGGACGAATTGCAAAACTGACAGATGTGAGGAGAGACGGTTGAGTCAGTATCAGGACAGCACCGTTTAGAGATGGAGAACAGCTGGAGGTCTGGGTGGCCCTGGGACCGGCATTTTCCAGGTGTGTGATGGTGAACGCTTACTGCCAGTTAGCCAGCCTGCTTGTGTATAGAAGCCCTCAGTGGGGCGTAACTGTTTGTCATTGTTTAATCTCAGGATAGTAGTCTGTCACAAGTTGTATAGTTCTTATTAACGATAATCTCAAAGCCAAACAATAGAAAAAATCAAGTTTTTGCAGCGTCTGCATGTGCATTCTGGGGAGTGTGCAAACTCGGCGTCACCACCCTGCTCTCAAGCATCTCTCCTTCCCAGAAATAGTGTCATATGTGAGGAGCTGATACAGTGTACACAGTGTGATGTAAAGCTGCGAGCTAACTGGGAAAGAACTTCAGAAGAGGGAGGTATAGGTATGGATTAGGAAGTGGAATAATCTCTCATCGATAGAGCAGGGAGCTATCATATGTAATGGAAGAAACCACAGGATTTAGGAAGATGGAAAGGGAAGAATGTCCTCTGGAGATGAAAGATGGGGCAAAGATGGAGGTGGGTTGAGGAGGTGCTGGGGGTAGAGTAGGGAGGTGGCGGGTGAGGGTGCAGCCTGGCCCCGGGATGCCCCAGGCAGGGGTGAGACTTTTTAGAGGTGGAACCAAGCTTAGTTCACCAGATTCTGGCATTGAAAACGCTGCAAGTCTATTAGTTCTATGCTTGGCGAGTTGGAAGGTGATGGGGTCCGGGCAGAGGTGGCACTGGGAACAAGAAGTGGTCCCTCCACTACAGGGAAAGAGTGTGACCCTTGGGGAGGATGTCAGGATGCAAGAGTTACTTCCATGGGCTTGGGGACCTGGACGGTGCCACAGAAACTCCATGGAGGCAGAAAGGGGCCTCCTGTGCAGCCCCCAGGACCACCGATGACACAGTGGTCGGGGAGGAATGAGGAGGAGTCCAGCATCCATGACCGGTGCCTCCAGCATTTCCGCTGTCCTTGGCCAGGGCACTTGCCTAGGCATTTAGGGCTGAGTAGGGGAGCAAGATTTCAGAAAACCTTGTGTGACATCCATATTCATAAAGTACAGATAAAAGCCGCTCGAGCATCACTTGCTCAGAATGGTGGAGGCATCCTGGAAAGGAATGAACTAACTAGAGCAGGGCGGTGGAGGGTATCTGACATGCTTCAGACAATCACACCGGTCTGTCCTGTGAGGCCAGAAGAGGCTGGTTAGCCCTGTGTGGGTCACCGGGAACGGTCCTGGCCACGGGTGTGCCTTACACAGGGCGGAGAGCCCATCCCTCAAGGCCCCCAGCCCCACCCTGGTACCTGAGCGGTTGCAGCCCTGGCCAGTGCTCAGCAGTGGCTCCAGACCCCGCCAGGCCAGTCCTTCACACCTGCTCTCCTAGCTGCCTTCCCCAAACTCCTGTAGGCAATTACCTGGTTCTGTTAAGTCCCCAATTCAGGGAGTGGGAGTGCTTGTTACATAAACTCCAGCAGTTCAGAAAAACTATGTAATTTCTTTAACTGTGGCTAAGGTTGCTCCATAACCTGGCGTGAGACTGAGCCTGACGCAGTTTGGCTCAGGGCTGATGTGGCCCGGGGGGCAGTTGTGTGGGAAGCAGCCTCCTGGGGCCATGCCTGCCAGGGCCCAGATCAGGCCCCCGGGGCACCGTCAGACACAGGGTGTGTGACTTCAGCAGCCAGCACCACGCTGAGGGGACACGAGGGGCAGCGTGTGGCCTGGCGAGGGGCACGGTACAGCTTCTCCAGAAGATCAAGAGAAACAGCGCGATGAGAGGAGAGATTAGCCCCGATGTGCCCGAACGCAAAAGGCCGGGATTGTGCCAAGGAGGCTCCGCAGAGAAGACACGCACATCCTGGCGACCAGGAAAACACGGCCTGGCAGAGCTGCACGCCCCTGAGGAGGTCCCTGCGCAAACCCCACACTTGTGTCCACCATCCACCTGTCCTGGAGAGCGTCCCTGCGCCCAGCAGGGCAGGACATGGCAGGGTTCTATTAGAAGAAAAATCTAGATTTTGTCCCTGAAAAGCACCTTCCCTTCCTGGCCCTGAGGACACACAGCAAGAGGACATCCGGGAGTAGGAGCGGCAGGGACATGGGGGCACCAAGCCAGTGGGTGATGTACTGAGGGCCATGGGAACAGAGTGTCCCACGGTGTAGGAGGTGCTTATAAACTTGGAAGGAGGAAGGCACAGAAAAAAGATTGGAATCGGAGGTGTGGTAATAATACAGTCTATACCCAGAGATTTAAAAACATCTGTGTACATGACCTGCATGACCTGGCTCTGTGCTGAAAGGGCCTCGGAGTGATGATGTTCTGGTAGCAGTGAGCACACGAATATTCGTCTTTTTTTTTCTTTTCTTTTTTTGGGGGGAGGGGGCAGGGAGGTGATTAGGTTTATTTATTTATCTATTTTAACGGAGGTACCAGGGCTTGAACCCAGGACCTCACACGTGTTAAGCGCACGCTCTACCACTGAGCTCTACCCTCCCCGCACAGATATTAGTCCCAAATGCCATCCTCTACTGAAGGAACTGGGCTCCTTAGAGAAATGTGCGATTCCAGGGCGGCTGGGCAGGAGCAGTTCAGCATGAAATCTCTGCTGTGCCAGAAAGCAGGGAGGGCCCCACATGAGCCACGGGGCTTGTCCAGATGGCAGGGGGCTCCCGTGCCAAATGTGGGACCACGTGAGCATCAAAGCAACAATGCTTCTAGTCAGTTCCAACCTGTTGAGTAAAACGTGAGCACATACTAATACAAATAAACAAAAGGCCAGGAGAGAAGGCTCTTACAGAACACCAGGGAATGAAGGTAGGAGTGACACCCAACAGCACCGAGAGGGGGCACTGAGGCTGCGGGGCGGGGGCGTGGTGAGGAACAGGGTGTATAGGTTCTCCTCATGTCTCGTTACCAAGGAGAAACGGTGAGTTTAAAGGGAGAAACGGACAGCTGCCTGTCCAGGCGATCCAGGTTAACGTCACCCACATGGAGCAGGCCAGCTCGGGCGTCTGCTGGTGTGGGAGGCGCTCTTTCTGGGTCTGATCACAAAGAACCATGGAAGCCCTGGGTCTGTCCGGGGTGTGGAGACGGGAGAGTCAAGGAGCTGCTCCAGGCCGGAGGGGCTGGAGAAGCGTGGCCCTAGTCACACACCCTACGTGGGGTCTGGGCTGGGTGGGGTCCGGGCCAGCGTTGCTTCCCTGATGAGAGGGTCCTCAGGGTGGATCCAGGGCAGCAGGCAATTGGCAAGGAGGTGGGTGTGCGGACTGCTAGCAAGTTGGGGACTGTGAGGGGCCGGGAGGTCTTTATGTTTTCCTGCCATTCTCTTCCTCAGTTTGAAATTATCTCAAAATACATCATTTTTGGAAAAGTAGATTGTGACTTAATCTCCAGCATGCCTCGTGGACCTGATGGTCAGGACCGTGTCGGATTTGGGGTCTCCTTTATGTATCTTGCAGGTTATGTCCATCCTTCTGCATGGGGACGCGGCGTTCGCCGGCCAGGGCATCGTGTACGAGACCTTCCACCTGAGCGACCTGCCATCCTACACGACTCACGGCACTGTCCACGTGGTCGTCAACAACCAGGTAACCCGGGCTCCTGGCCGGCTCTGGGGTCTTGTAGCAGGCAAGGCCACAGCATCCAGTAGACTTTCTCCTGAAGCTTCTCTGCTCTTAGAATGACACATTATTATTTAGAACATGTGTAGTTTTCCGACTAATAACTTGGACAACACAGGAAACTTTTCTTTCAAGTGGAGAGATTTTAATTACACTATTTAAGATCATGATGTTATTTTAGAAATTTTCTTCTAAACCCACAAGCATGTAGATGGCTTTTCTTTTTCAAGAAACTTGGGTTATATATATACACACATACAATTTTATATCCGTTTCTTATTTACCACAGTATTTTCTCATTTCATCATATATTCTTCAAATATTAATTTTAATGGAAATATCCATTATAGGTTGTTACATAAACTAGATATTGCTGTGTTGTTAGACTTTTAAGATCCTCATTTTTCATGGTTTTCAATAACGTTTGATGACCATTCTTGTAAGTGAATATTTCTGCTCAACTCAAACGTACTACTGTTATAATTGTTATTTCCTGAACCGCATATCCAAAGGTGCGTCTCCGCAGCTCTTGTGAACTTTCATATAACAGATACTCAAGTGCCTTTAAGTACAAGCACTGTGCCAGATACCAGGCCGAGAAAGGGCGTGTTCGCTGCCATCACCAAGATTAGAGTTTAGTGCGAGGGGCCGGGGGCCTACCAGGTATTGGGTTAGTCAGCAGGTGTTTCTCTGAGGAGTTAACCTTTAAGTGGAGATTTAAGGTCAAGTAGGCAAATGCTGGGGAGCAGAAAAGCAAGTCAGGAAAAGGGTCCTCTGTCCAAGGGAGGGGGCGAGACCATCACATCCAGGGCATTGGAAGGCCATTGGAGGAACAAAGCAAGGAGGTGATGAGAGAGATTGTTTGTGCCGATGGTTTGTTGCCATCTGCAGAATGAGCGAGAGGATGACAGAGAAACAGTTGCAGCTGCCCCAGCAAGGAGTAGAGAGGAAGAAGGGGAAATTTAAATGTGAAAGTAGATGTGGTGGTCAGTACGTAGTAAATGCCAAGCTCAAAATATACAAGGTCAGACACGAAAAGACGCGAAGAACATCGAGTATGCATAAAACTCACAATATGATAACAGCTGCCTTTTATGGAGGACCTGCTCTGTTCCAGACACTGAATGAGGCACCACACATACATTAACTGAATGTGCGCTGCTGTTACTCATTCAGTCGGCGCTGTCATGCCCAGTTTACACAAGAGAGAATGGAGCAAAGAGAGTGAGTAACTTGCTTGAAAGTCAGTATTTGATCTGCTTTCTTTCAAAGAACAGTACTAGGAAGAATTTTGAAAAAATCTCAATGAAAGAGGGAAGGTCTGAAAAACAAACAAGGGTGGAGGGTATAGCTCAGTGGTAGGGCGCATGCTTGGTGTGCACGAGGTCCTGGATTCAATCCCCAGTACCTCCATTTAAAAAAAAAAAATTCAAACAAACAAAATAACCCATCACTGAACTGTGTTTTAAACAGATTACCGAGGGAACTATATTTAGTATCTTGTATTATTAACTTATGGTGAAAAAGAATATGAAAACGAATATACGTATGTTCATACATGACTGAAGCATTGTGTTGTACACCAGAAATTGACACAACATTGTAAACTGACTAGACTTCAATTAAAAAAAAGTGACTGGATGAAACTAAACTGATTTAAACCAAAAATATAAAAAATAAAAAATAAACAGATTACGAAGCACAGAACATGCTTACTGCTTTTGGGTAGGGGCTGGAATGCTAATGGGAATGGTCTTCAGTCTGGAAAAGTGCAGCAGAAATCATTCAGGTTTTTGTTTCTTTGTTTTTTTAAAAAAAAAATATTTTTTCCATTAAGAACCTACTTGGTAATCTCTTATGAATCCTGGCAAGTAGGAGAGGTGATAAAGGCTTAAAAATTTTTATTTAAAGGAGTAAAAAGAATAGATTCTAGTCCCTGGGAAAAGACCGGAATAGAAAGACCCGAATAGATTCCCAGCTTAGAGGAGGGACGTGTCCCTGTTACAGAACGCCACCCAGGCCCTCAGTCAAGTCCTTTATCACATCTTTGTGCACACAGCTCAGAAACATGACACAGACACTGGTATAGCCATGTGGCTTCTTACCTAATTTCAGAAGCATGCCCACTCAGAAAGGTCTGCTTAATGGGCTGGTGGCAGCAATACATGGTTCTCTTGCGACCCTGACAGGTTCAGCACGTTATCAGTGACAGATTTGGGCACAGATAAAGTGATATTTGTAGCTGGCCCAGAGCTTAGGAGAAGAGCTGTTGCATGTCAAAATCAGGATTCAGAATTTAGAAGGTTGAGGCACAGTCAACAAGGATTAAGTCCAGAGACAAATACTGAATCAAACATTAAAAATTTTAGTAGCTTTTTTAGTGTTATAATTTGCATAAGGTAGAATTCACCCCTTTTGGTGTCTGCTTCTCTCAGTTTTGACAAATGCATGCAGTCATGTAATCTCCATCAAGATACAAGAGTTTAATCGCTCCAGCCCCTGGCAAGCACTATGAGTTTGCACTTTCCAGAATGTCTTTATTAGAAACTGACCTTTTGAGTCTGGCTGCCTTCCTTCTGCACAGCCCACTGGACATTCATCATGTGCTCTTGTGTCTGTTTCTAATTGCTATGTAGTGTTCAGTGGCATGGTTGTTTACCCTTTCATCCACTTCAGGGAGTCTGGATTGTTTTTGCTAGTTACGATTAAAGCTACTGTAAACACTCACATACTGATTTGGGTGTGTCCATTAGTTTTTCTTACTCTGTAAATACCTAGAAGTGGAATTACTGGCTTATATAATAAGTGTGTAGTGTATGTCATGTGACTTACTCTGTTTCCCTAAAGGAAACTGTGGGCTGTGGGTTTTTTGCTTTCTTGATACTGTCTTTTGAAGCACAAAAGTTGGGGGGTAGGGGTTGGTTTGTTCTCTAGGTTTATTTTGTTTTTACTTCTGTGTTTTCCTCTAAGAGTTTTATGGTTGTCGTTCTTACATCTGTGATCCATTTTGAGTTAACTTTTGTGTGTGATGCAAGGACGGGGCCCAACATCATTCGTTTGCACATGGATACCAGTTGTCCCTACATCTTTTGTGGAGAAGACGGATCTTTTTCCCATTGAATTGGCTTGACATCATTTAGCTTCTTGAATCTGTAGATTTGTATCTTTTGACAAATTGGGGGAATTCTCAGGCATCTTTTCTTTCTTTTCTTTCCTTCCTTCCTTCCTTTCTTTCTCTCTCTCTCTTTCTTTCTTCCTTTCTTTCTTTCTTCCTTTCTTTCTTTCTTTCTTTCTTTCTTTCTTTCTTTCTTTTTCTTTTCTTTTTTGGTAGTTTTTAACCACCTTCACTCCTTTGGCCTACCTCCCCACCCTCCACCTCTGGCAGCCATCAATCTGTTCTCTGTATATATAAGTTCGGATTTTGTTTTGTGTTCAATTCCACATGTAAATGAGATCATACAGTATTTGTCTTTCCCTGTCTAACTTATTTCACTTAGCATAGTGCTCTCAAGGTCCAACCATGTTGTCACAAAGGACAGAATTTCCTTCTTTTTTATGAATGGATAATACTCCATTGTATGTCTACACCACATTTTTTTATCCATTCATCCATTGTGGACACTTAGGTTGTTTCCATGTCTTGATTACCGTGAATGATGCTGCAGTGAACGTGGGAGTGCAGAAATCTTTTTGAGCTAGTAATTGTGTTTTCCTTCCACTAAACACCCAGAAGTGGGATTGCTGGATCATATGGTAGTCCTGTTTTTAATTTTTTGAGGAATCTCCATGCTGTGTTCCCTGGTGACTGCCTGAATTTACATTCCCACCAACAGTGCAATTAATTCCCTTTTCTCCATGTCCTCACCAACACATGTTCTCTCTTGTCTTTTTGATCCTAACAGGTGTGAGGTCACATCTCACTGTGGTTTTGATTTGCATTTCCCAGATGATTAGTGATGTTGAGGACCTTTTCAGGTACCTGTTGGCCATGTGTATGTCTTCTTTAGAAAAATGTACATTGAGATTCTCTGCTTATTTTATTTTATTGAGTTATTGTCAGTTTACAAAGTTGTGTCAATTTCTAGTGTAGAGCACAATTTTTCAGTTATACATGAACATACATACATTCATTATCACATTCTTTTTCACTATGAGCTACCACAAGATCTTGTATGTATTTCCCTGTGCTATACAGTATAATCTTGTTTATCTATTCCAAATATACCTGTCAGTATCTACAAATTTCGAACTCCCAGTCTATCCCTCCCCCCCCACCGTCTGCTTTTTTTTTAATCAGCTTGTGTTCTTTTCTGTTGAGGTGTATGAGGTATTTACATATTTTAGATATTAACTTCTTTTCAGATACATGATTTGCAGGTATTTTCTCCCATTCAGTAGGTTGCCTTTTCATTTTGTTGATGGTTTCTTTTGCTGTGCAGAAGTTTTTTACTCTGATGTAATATTATTTACTTTTCTTTTTGGTGTAAAATCCAAAAAAATCATTGCCAAAACCAATGTCTAGGAGCTTACCCTCTATGTTTCCTTCTAGGAATTTTATGAGTCTTACATTCAGGTCTTTAATCCATTTTGGGGTTGATTTTTGTGTCTGGTGCATAATAGTGATACAGTGTCTTCTGAATAGGGCTGTCCAGTTTTCCCAGCACCGTTTATTGAAGAGACTGTCCTTTCTCCAGTGTACGTTCTTGGCTGCTTTTTCGGGAATTAATGGATCACATATACATAAGTTTACTTCTAGGCTTTCTGTCCTGTCCCATTAATCACCATATCTGTTTTTATGCCAATACCATACTTTTTTTTCTTTTTTTTCAGTTAACAACGTTGTGTCAGTTTCTGGTGTACAGCATGTTTTTGTCATGCACATACGTGCATATATTAGTCTTCATATTCTTTTTCATTATAGGGATGGAGTGGGTACCTAATTACCATCAGCCTAGGCTCCCCACTGGGCCTTTGCTGGGGTGGGTGGGGGTGGACCACAGTGTGTCTTGTGGGATTGGCTGCAGCAGAATAGCTACTGTCTAAAACTCTGGACTGTTCAGCAGCCTTTTCCTGGTCCTCTGGCCAGAGAGAGCTGCTTTCCCTGGAACTTCTCTTTCTCTGGGCCTGTGGCGTTTCTGAGTTGCCCACTTCTCTAGCACTAAATCTGGGATATATGAGGGAAAAGAGAGCCATAGGAACTATCACAAGTCTCTCCTTGGGACCTGAGGTCCCTGGCTGATCTGTCTCCTTCAGTCTACCTTCAGAGTTTATGTTTATTTTGCATATATAATGCCCTGGGTTTTTAGTTGTCCTGAGCAGAAGAAATAGGGAAAAGTACATTTAGTCCATCTTCTGGAAGTGGAAGTCTCTCTGAGAACTTTCTCTGAAGAATAAACTCCATTTCTTTAATAAATATAAAACTAATCAGGTTATCTGATTCTTCTGGAGTGAGCTCTGGTAATTTCTGTCTCGCATGGAATTTGTTCATTTCATTTAAGTTGTGAAATTTATGGGCGTGAAGTTTGCAGTGTTCTCTTACTACGGTCTGCTGTGGTAGCCCTTCTCTCGGTCCGGATGTTGGTAATTTGTGTCTTTTCTCTTTTGTTCTTCGTTAGATGAGTTCGTTGTTGTTTTCAAAGGAACAACTGTGGCTTCATTGGCTTTATCTACTGTTTTCCTATTTTGTATTTCATTCATTTCTGCTTTTTGTTATTCCTTTCTTTCTAGTTGCTTTGGGTTTAATTTGGTCTTCTCTTTCTAGTTTCTTTGATTGTTGATTTGAAACGTTCCTTCTTGGCAATATAAAATTTAATAATACTTCAATTTAAGAATCACATTACACAAATACAATACAGGTAAGCCTTTGGCATGTCAAACTTCTTATGACAGATGGTTAAGCATTTTGATTGAACGTGCGTGAGACCGCGTCCAGAGGAGAGTGTCTTAGGATGGTGTAGTGTCTGGAAAATTACCCTGCAAGGAATGACCCGGGAAGCTGGGCTTATTGTAGCCCAGAATATAAAAGACTCTTAGAAGCGTGAGAGCTGTTTTCCAATAAATGGATGATTCACACAGAGTCTGCAACAATGGGTAACAATTACCAAGAAGCAGATTTCGGCTGAGTAGAAAGAACTTCCAACAACCAGACCTCTTCCATCTGGGGACCAGCTGCGGGGCTGAAGCCAACAGGGCTCCAACCAGGATAAACCATTTGGCTGTAGGGTCCCTTCTGGCTCTCAAACCCAGCAGCTCCACTGCATGGGATTTCCCTGCTAACATACTCATTCTCAAATGGCTACTGAAAAATGTCTTTAAAGATACCACTGCTGCACAAATTATATCTCAGTAAAACCAGAAGAAAAAAATTAATAAAATGTCAAAACTGAAATAAATAATCACATAGGGGTTGGATAGGAAGATACCGCTGCTGCAGCAAAAGCAAACATCAAAATCTCTGCCACTGCATCAGCAGGGAGCTGGTTAAGCGGTCTGCGATCTACCCATACACGTGTGACAGGGCTTCAGTGAATTAATACGTGTAATTAACATACAGAAAGTGCTCAGAACAGTGTCTGGCCCAGAAATGAGCACAAATGTACGTTACCTGCGGTCATTTATACAGTGTCATAAAACCATTTGAAAGAGTGGGATCTATACTGTTGAAATGATCTACGAGATGCACTAATTTGGGGGAAAAAGGGACAGCAGTATGTGGATTACAGCTCCGTCTCCACGTGTGTGTGAGTGGGTGGTGGTGCACATGCGCCCACCACATGTGCTTAAAGATACAGAAGTCAGTAACAGCGGTGGATATTGGGGGCAGCTGAAGGACTGAGGTCTCAAAACTTCGAAGCAGTTCATTTTCTGTGAGGTTCGAGCTGTACCGTGTGTAGGTTGACCACTGTCTTACCTGTTCCCTACCCTCACTTCCCTGTGTGGGGAGACCCAGACAGGCCATGGGGTTGTTCTGGGTCTCTGTAAGTGTTCGTCAGAATTCTCCCTGGTACATCATTTTTTAATGTTCTCATCAGTTTCTGACTATTTTCTAATCTTTCCTTTAGTCGGTGTGATAAAGGAGATTATCTAAAAGCAATTTATCAGAAAGAAAGAAAGAATTCTCAGACTGTTGTAAGAACTACAGTTTTGCTAATGATTTCTTTCATTTTTTTACTGTTTTTTATACCATCGATCATGACATGTGTGGGGTTAGTAAAACCTGTAGCAGGAAAGGAAAGGCCTGCTCTGCTGAGTTTCCTATTTCTTTAAGAATGTACCTAGGGTTTCCCTTTTCGAAAATTCTCTCCTAAGGAAACCGTCAGATGCTAAAGATTTTTGCATCAGAACATTTATCAAAATTACATTTGTACTACTATAAAATCAGGAAGTAAGCTGTATGTCCAATAGAAGAGTCTTTGTAGGAATTCTGACAAAGCCATAGGAAGCAGTATTATACAATCCTTTACATAATCATGACATTGGTATCCTGGGGCAACAGTCACAGTGTGGTGAGAGGACATGCGGAGTGCTCGCTTGCTGCTGGTGGGAGGCTGAGTGGCACAACTATCTGAGAGCAGTTTGACAGCATTGAGGTACAGTGCTCGTACCCTGTGGCTGAATTTGCCCTTCCTCAGAATCCAGGCCAGATAAAACTCAGTGTTTGCTGGAGAAAACCTGGGTAAGTATATATACAGTAACAGTGTATTAACCACGAGTTGGAAACAACTAAATGTCCACCAACAAGAGAATGGATAAATAAACTGTGGTATATAGTATTCAGGACTTAGATTTCACTCCTAAGGAAGGAGAGGTAGGTGTTTCAACCTGGGGGAACCATACGTACAGATGTTGAACAGAAAGCAAGTTGCAAAGGATTTGCATAGCTTATGTAAGGTATATAGAGTGGGTATCGCTCTGGTTTCAAAGACATGGACATACTCTCTCAAAAATGTTAATTCTATGAAAAGCCAAGAAAAGTAAGGAGCCTTCCAGATTAAGGGAGACTAGAGAGAGGTGACAACGAATACAGGGTGATGTGCTGGATTGGATACTGGACTGGGGGAAGAAAGGCTGGCTGTCATAGGACAATGGATGGAATGTGTATACTGAGGGTCACATAACAGTACTCTCTAATGTTCAATTGCTTGGGCTGAGAACTGCTCTCTGGGTGGTAAGGGAATGTCTGTGTTTTAGGAAATAGGGACAGTCTACAGCTTACCTGTAAATGGTTCTGGGAAAATGTGTGTGTGCATGAATAATAAAAGGGGAGAAATGGAAACAATCGGTGAATCTGAGTAAAGACTCTGCGAGTTCTCTGTATTCTTTCAACTTTTTCACAAGTCTGAAATTAAACCAAAATTTTATTTATTTATTTATTTATTTTTGGTTTTGGGGTTTGGGTTTTTTTACTTTTTTTTAACCAAAGTTTTAAAGTGACCAATAAGCCTAATAAGATACTCTATATTGTTTATGGACCTATGAAATACATATACCAACATGTGGAAATTTTGTCCTCCACGTTCAGGGCCATGCTCCCTGTGTGAGCATCAGCTGTAGCAGAAATGTGCTCTTTTATTCTAAGGAATGTAAAAAGTCTTAATGAAACTTTTAAGATTTGTTCATGTTGGGTTATGAGCTCATGGCTGATCATTATAGTATTATACTTTTTATATGTTTGAAGTAATTCATAAAAATAAATTTTGAATTAGAAATGAATAAAATTATGAATATGTAATTAATTGTTTTAATAAGGCTAAGTGCAAGGAGTATTAGGAAGCCTTTAAATTTTCTTTTTAAAGAACAAATGCTCATATTGAATGAACAAAGTACAAAATTATAGAAATAATAGAAACCGAAATTCTAAGTACAGATTGTGTGTATACGCATGCAGAGAGAACCATCTGGAAAGGAAAACATCAAAATATTTACACTGCAGCTGATGGAATATAGGTGACTTTAATTGTTCATACTGTCTTCCAAACTCTCTATGTTGAACATGTATGAATTCTGTTTTCAGGTAGGGAAAAAAAATTCTTTTTTAAAAATAGCCATTTGGGGACTTAACTCCGAGTAGGCCAAGCGTGCCAAGAGACTGCCCACAAGTGGCCTTTGGCTCCTCCTTGCCTGCACTGAGCCCCGCCCTCACCCTCCGCTCCATCTGTTCTCCCCCTGCCCCGCCCTTGGCTCCACCCCACCCTGGCTCCACCCTTCTTCGGGCCACGCCCACCCTTGGCTCTGCTCTGCCAGTGCCCAGCCGCTTGCTGGGGCACGCTGGCCACGCTGCATGTCGCTTGCAGATCGGCTTCACCACGGACCCGCGCATGGCCCGCTCGTCGCCCTACCCTACCGACGTGGCCCGAGTCGTGAATGCCCCCATTTTCCATGTGAACTCGGACGACCCCGAGGCAGTCATGTACGTGTGCAAGGTGGCAGCTGAGTGGAGGAGCACCTTCCACAAGGACGTGGTGGTGGACCTGGTGAGTGACCTTGGCCTGTGTCCTGGAGAGAGGGGTCAGGGCCCCTTCAGGGCAGGGGTCACCTCACTGCCCCTCCCAAGAGCTCCTGCATCTTTGCCCTGAGTGAGCCAACTTGGGGAAAAAGGTAGTTGGGGTCCTGAGATATTCCCAGGTCAGTCTCTTGTCATCTCAGGTGACAGTCAAAGCAATTCTAGCGTGTGAAGGAGAGGTAGATAGGACCGTAATTCTAGAGGTAAACTGAGGCATCACATAGGAGAAATGGGCCAGGTCTTCCTGAGTCCTGAGTCCGGCCAGCATGGTCCCTAATACTGGCGTCTCCCACCTGTGCCCAGGTGTGTTACCGGCGTAACGGCCACAACGAGATGGACGAGCCCATGTTCACACAGCCGCTCATGTACAAGCAGATCCGCAAGCAGAAGCCCGTGCTGCAGAAGTACGCCGAGCTGCTGGTGTCGCAGGGCGTGGTCAACCAGCCTGAGTATGAGGTGCATCCCCCAACTCCGATCCCAGTGAGCCTTGCCACACAGGGCCAGTGCTCGCTTTTGCAGACTAATTAGGATCCAAGTGAGAACATGTGAAATAGTTAACAACTGCAGAACTTCGGTGCATAACCTTCTGGAGGGTCCAGGCTCCTGAGTTCTATGCTGGGGGTTGGGGGAGGCAGCTGAGAGCACTTTGGCACGAGGAGGTGGCCCCCTCGGCTTACAGAGTCCAGGGCACGGGAGTGAGAGGCGGATGATGAAGGATCCAGCTTGGTAAAGGGCCTGCCGTGATGTGGTCAGTTCTGGCTGGTTATGAGTGGGAGGGCCCGTGCCGGGTGTTGGGAGAGAGACCAGAAGGACTGCTGATGAGCGAGCTGAGTCGGAAGTATGGGAATGGGGGTGCTGCCAAGGTCAGGGGCCAGTGCTGGAGATGGCGCTCTGGGCTTCAGTCCTCCTGGGGCTGCGCTTGGAGCCATGAGAACTGGGCCAGTTCCTAAGGACGAATATGGATGGGTGGAGACAGAGGCTTCAACTTTGAGCAGGATCCGCAGCCAGCAGACGTGGAGAAGAAACTGCTGGGAATGAAAACAGTGAAATGCAGGCTGCCCACGGATCTCATCAGAGGGGTGATGCCGTTGGGAGTCTGAGGGACTCTGCACGCGGGAAGTCCAGGCACGTGCTGGCCGTGCGGCCGGTGTGCCCCGTGCAGAGTGGCCCTGATGACTGTGCTGTGCCCGACCCTCCAGGAGGAGATCTCCAAGTACGACAAGATATGTGAGGAGGCCTTTGCCAGGTCCAAGGATGAGAAGATCTTGCACATCAAGCACTGGCTGGACTCCCCCTGGCCTGGTGAGTGGGGAACACCACCATGAACCCCTTCCCCGTGCCCCCACAACACCCCTGTGGGCTCTGGAATCAGACCCCCGACTGCTGCTCTCCAGGCTGCCTCTCCACAGCGTTTCGTGTGTCCATGGTTCAGCTCCTGGAAAAGTGGCAGCTGTGTGTCAGTTTGTCCCTTCCCTCCTAGGCTTCTTCACCCTGGACGGGCAGCCCAGAAGCATGTCCTGCCCCTCCACCGGCCTGACGGAGGATATTCTGACACACATTGGGAACGTGGCCAGTTCCGTGCCCGTGGAGAATTTCACCATTCATGGAGGTAGCGTCGCCACACTGACCTTTGGAATTGTTCGGCCAAGTCCAGTGACAACTTCCCTCCAGCATGAGATGGGTCCCTGCCCACCTCAGGTCCCTGCTTTGTTCAAGGCCGGGCGTGGTTGGATGAGGGAAGCCCTCCTTACCCCTGTCCCCACGTGGCCCCCAGCCAGCAGAGCAGTGGCAGAAAGGATGGGATGTCACAGCCTCTCTGGCCTGGTCTCCACTCATCTCCCTTCCCCACTCTCCCAACCAGTGCGACTCCCAGGAGCTGGGACCAACAGAAGCTCCGCTCTCATCACAAGAGGGCTTGTGGGGCGGCTGATGAGCACCCTGTCTCTGCAGGGCTGAGCCGGATCTTGAAGACCCGCGGGGAGCTGGTGAAGAACAGGACCGTGGACTGGGCTCTGGCGGAGTACATGGCTTTTGGCTCCCTCCTGAAGGAAGGCATCCATATCCGGCTGAGTGGACAAGATGTGGAGCGGGGCACTTTTAGGTAATGGTCTCCGTGTTCTTATGGTCCCTTCAGAGCGTGGGAGACGGACAGGAAGAGCTCTGGTGTTTCTCTTCCTGAAGAAAATCACTGCCAGGAAACAGTCATTAGATCCCATTGTCTCAGGCCCAGAAGCACCCTTTTCCTGCTCAGATTAGACGCTTCTGTTAAGAACTGCGCTTTGCCCTCCCCGCCGCTGCCTTGCATGGGGGGTGGTCTGCTTGTCTGAGCAGAGCGCAGGGCCGGCTCCTGCCTACTAATCTGTGCCGTTCTGCCCCAGCCATCGCCACCACGTGCTGCACGACCAGAACGTGGACAAGAAAACCTGCATCCCCATGAACCACCTCTGGCCCAACCAGGCCCCCTACACTGTGTGCAACAGCTCGCTGTCTGAGTACGGGGTCCTGGGTGAGCGCCCCAGCGTGAGCTCCCTGCCCTCCCCGGGCTGTCCCTTCCCCCTTCAGCCCCCTCCTCTCCCCAGATCCCCCCTCCCGCCCACCAGCTGACTCCCTCCCACCTTCCCTGTAGGCTTTGAGCTGGGTTTCGCCATGGCCAGTCCTAATGCCCTGGTCCTCTGGGAGGCCCAGTTTGGTGACTTCCACAACACGGCCCAGTGCATCATCGACCAGTTCATCTGCCCGGGTCAGGCCAAGTGGGTGCGGCAGAACGGCATCGTGCTGCTGCTGCCCCACGGCATGGAAGGCATGGTGAGCCCCCGCCCCTGCCCTGCCAGACCCGGGACATGGGAGGGCTTGCCTAGGACCCTGACCCCAGAGACCGGCCCCGTGTGGGCTCAGCTGGCACTGTCTCCTCTCCCCACCCCAGCCCCCCGCCTTGGAAGGAAGAGGCTGGTCCTGCTTCCCCACTGATAAGAAGCGGGGATGCTAATGGGGACCACCTAGGCTCAGATGTTCCCTCCTCATCTCCATCACTCCTCCCCACTGGGCCCTGTGGAGGGCTATCTTAAGACTCAGCTTTGGAAACCACAAGGAGCCAGGAGTGCTGGGCCCTGTCCTGACGTGGAAACGCCCCCTCCACGCTCTGTGGGTGGGAAGAGAAGGAATTGAACTGCCAGCTGGAAGGGGATCCATCTGGCATTTTTCAAGCCAGAAATGAGCAAGAGGTGAGAAGCTCCTGATCTGTGACTTGTGTGTCTGGTTCCAGGGCCCAGAACATTCCTCCGCCAGACCAGAGCGGTTTCTGCAGATGTGCAATGACGACCCAGACGTCCTGCCGGTGAGTGGAGCGGCCACCAGGGCGTCTGGGGGCACTCCGTCCCTCTCAGGAGGCGCAGATGGGCCCCGCACCTGCTAGTCTCCCCGAAGTGAGGGGCTTCCTCAGAACACAGAAGAGAGACGGCATCGGGCTGCCTCCTGTCGCCCCCCTGCTGCTGTAGAAAAAGAGAAACAGAAACCCGTGGCGGAAACGTTCAGGAGTAACGCTGTCTGTATTTTGGTTCAGGCAGGCACTTTAGAGGAAAGGACTCTGGGTGATTTTAGTGAAACTTTAAAAGCTGGAAGGAAATTATTGGGAGTCAGTTTCTGAGGAAAAGCAGAATTGGTTTTAGGTAGAACCTGTCTGTCCCAGGTGGTTTTCAGAGAAACAGGAAGGGATCACGGGACTGACACCCCCATTCAGAGTGTGGGGCTGGCTGGATTAGCTCTTGTCAGCGTCCCCCCCAGGTGTGCGTCTCCCAGGGAGCTGTGGCAACCTGCGCTGGTTCTCTGGGTGCCTTCTGAGGCCCCTGCCTTGATGCCTCCCTCAGCGGGGTGCTCAGAGCCACCTGGCCTCTGGCCATTTCCCTCTTTGCTGCAGGACCTGAAGGAAGCCAACTTTGACATAAATCAGCTATACGATTGCAACTGGGTTGTTGTCAACTGCTCCACCCCCGGCAACTTCTTCCATGTGCTGCGTCGCCAGATTCTCCTGCCCTTCCGGAAGCCGGTCAGTTGGGGGTGTCCCAGCTCAGAGAGGCCTGGCCTGAGGACTCCAGGGTCCCAGCCCAGTGAGAGGATGGACATGTGAGCGGGTGGTCATAGGTGGTGCTTTGAACTTGGAGGAGAGGTGAGCCCTGCACAGGCCAAGGGAGCAGAGGGTCCCCAGGAAGGAGGGCTCCCGGGCGGGGTGTTGAAGGGTGAGTAGGAGCGTGTGTGAAGGGTTCAGGGGAGAACACCCACTGCTGCTGCCAGTCAAGGTGCAGGGCCAAGCAGGCCCGTGGGATAGGACAGCCCTGGCCACGGGCTGGGACGCCAAGGAAAGGCTCAGGAGTCTTTCCCAGGCAGCGGGAAAGGGGCATCCAGGGCTCAGAGCAGGCTGGGGCGGGCCCTGGAGGAGTGGACGCCAGCTGAGCAGTGCCCAGCCTCTCAGGGCAGAGGAGAGGTGGACAAGGGACACAGCATCCTGTTTCCTCCTCCTTTCACCTCTGACCTGTGGCTCCTCCCGACCTGAGAGCCGGGAGGGCAGCACCAGGTACCTGATCTGAAGATGAGACCTGGGCAGCCCTTTGCCACTGACCCTCCTTCTGGGACCCTTAGAACCTGGTCCATCACGAGCCTGTGCTTCTGTGTTTCAGTTAATCATCTTCACTCCCAAGTCCCTGCTGCGGCACCCTGAGGCCAGAAGCAGCTTTGACGAGATGCTTCCAGGTAGGTGTGGCGGGGGTGGGCATTTGGACGGGGCCTTGACTGCTACTCTGTGGGGCGGGGGGGCTTAAACTTGGTGGTCTCACCGTGGCCACATTTTTGGTCATTGGTAAAGACCACTGAACGTGACAGCCTGGAAGTCAGAGCTTGTGTGTGAATTGGTCTGACAGCACGTCTCACATCCAGTCCGGGTCTGTGGCCATTGCCTGGGTGCACCCCTGGGACTCCTTTAGAGGCAGAGAAATGAGCCTGAGGTTAGAGTTCACCCCTTCTGCCTGGGCAGTGCTCCGGGAGGCTGGTGGCAGCTCACCACCAGGGACATAGAAAAGGCAGCCGGTGGGCAGGGCCTGCCGAGTAACACACCAGCGCAGAGGTGTGAGGTGAGGCCCACAGCTCTGAGATTTCCACCCAGACAGCAGACCGCAGGTGGCTGACACAGCACACGGCAGCCCTGCACATCCCCGGGCTTACAGGGCCGGGGGGCCCACCTGCCCCCAGCTGCAGAGTGCCCATTAGTCTTCTGTGAAGGTAAACCCCTCTTTTTTTTCCCCCAATTTTTTATTATTCTGGTGAAGTATACATGACAAAATTTACCATTTTCAAGTGTACAGCTCAGTGGCATTAACACACATTCACATCACATCACATCACATCACATCACATCACATTGTGCAACCATCAACCTCATCCGTCTCCAGAACTTTTTCATCTTCCCAAACTGAAGCTCTGCACCCATTAAACACTCACTAACTCCCCCATCGCCCCTTCTCCCGTGGCACCTGGCAACTGCCACTCTGCTTTCTCTCTGGGTTTGACTCCTCTAGGAATCGCATATAAGTGAAATCCTACAGTGTTTATCTTTATATGACTGGCTGTTTTCGCTCAGCATGATATCCTCAAGGTTCACCCATGTTGTAGCACGTATCAGAATCTCCTTCCGTTTTAAGGCTGAGCAATATCCCATTGTACCTATATACTACTTTCTGTTTATCTGTTGAATCTGTCAGTGGACATTTGAGTTGCTTCCACGATTTAGCTGTTGTGAATAATGTGATGAACATGGATGTACAAATATCTCCTCAAGACCCAGCTTTCAATTCTTCTGGTTATATACGAAGAAGCAGAATTGCTGGGTCATGTGGTAACTCTATTTTTAATTTTTTGAGAGACACCATACTGTTTTCCATAGTGGTGGCACCATTTTACATTACCAACAGTGCACAAGGGTTCCAGTTTCCACATTCTTGCCAACACTTACTGTTTTCTGGTTTAGATTTTGCTGTTGTTTTTTGTTTGTTTGTTTTGGTTTTGGCTTTGTTGGTAATAGCCATCCTAGCGGCCATGCAGCAGTATCTCCTTGTAGTTTTGATTTGCATTTCCCCCCAATGATTAGTGAGTGATGCCGAGCATCTTTTTGTGTGCTTATTGGCCATCTGGGTGTCGTCTTTGCAGAAATGTCTATTTAAGTTCTTGCCCATTTTTTCATTGGGTTGTTTGTTTTGCTGTTGTTGAGCTGTAAGAGTTCTCTTTCTATGCTGGATATTAGTGCCTCACCAGATAAATGATTTGCAACTGTCTTCTTCCATTCTGTGTGTTGTCTTTTGACGCAGAAAAGTTTTAAATTTTCATAAAATCTACTTTGTCTCTTTTTTCTTTTATTGCCTGTGCCCTTGGTGTCACAAACAAGCAATCACCGCCAAATTCAGTGTCATGAAACTATGTTTTCTTCTGTGTTTTCTTCTAAGAGTTTTATAATTTCAGCTCTGTTGAAGTGTGTAATCCATTTTGAGTTAATGTTTGTGCTTTGTGTAAGGGTCCGGCTTCATTTGCGTGTGGACACGCAGCACCATTTGTTGAAGAGACTTTCCCGTCCCCGTTGAATAGTCCTGGCTCCCTTGTCAAAGTCATTTGACCAAATACATGAAGGTTCATTTCCAGGCTCCCTGTTCTCTCCCGTGGGTCTGTGTGTCTGTCTTTATGCTAGTACCACACTTTGATATTGCAGCTTTGTAGTAAGTTTTGAAATCGGGAAACGTGAGTCCTCCAGCTTTGTTTTGCTTTTTCAAGATAGTTTTGGCTATTCAGGGTCCTTTGAGATTCCAGGGATTTTAGATTGGGTTTTTCTATTTCTGCAAAAAAAAAAAAAAATCATTAGAATTTTGATAAGGATCACACCGAACCTATAGATTGCTTTGGCATTGTTAACATCATAGCAATGCTAAGTCTTCCAATCTGTGAGCACAAACGACTTTCCATTTGTTAGTATCTTCTTTAATTTCTTTTACTAACGTTTTATAGTTTTCAACGGACGAAGTGTTCATTTTCTCAGTTAAGTTTATTCCTAAGTATTATATTCTTTTTGATGCTATTTTAACTGGGATTTTTTTTTCTTAATTCAATTTCCAGATTGTTGATTGTTAGTGTATAGAAATACAGCTGAGTTCTTTTTTTTTTTTTTTTACATTTTTATTGATTCATAATCATTTACAGCTGAGTTCTGAGTGCTGATGTTCTGTCCTTTAATTCTGCTGAATTCATTTACTAGTTCTAACAGATTTGTGTGTGTGTGTGGAATCTTTAGGGTTTTCTCCATATAAGATCATGTCATCGACAAACAGTTAATTTTGCTTCTTCCTTTCCCATTTAGATGCCTTTTCTTTTTCTTGCCTAATTGTGTTGGCTAGAAATTCCAGTGCTATGTTGAATAGAAGTGGTGAGAACAGGCATCCTTGCCTTGTTTGCGACATTAGAGGAAATGCTTTCAGTCTTTCACCATTGAGTGTGATGTCCGCGGTGGGTTTTTCATATCTGGCCTATATCATGTGAAGGTAGTTTCCTTCCAGTCCAAGCATTTCCCTCTATAGCATGAATGTGAGCATGTTGTGTGTTGTCTACGTATCACTGAGTGAACCCCTCTCTCTGAAGTCAGCCTTGTTCCCGTGGGAATGGATTCCCAACCATGAGCATCTGAATATTTGCTCCAGCAAATGTGTAGACAGTTTTCATACTTGTAAACTCGTGGAGAGTCCGAGCAGAGTGGTCATGGGATGCTCTGCCAGACTTAAGTTACCCCTGAAGTCTGAGACGGGCTGTTCCGGAGAATGAGCTGGTGTCACTTGCTCCCCGAGGCTGGCCTCGCCTGCTGTGCCTGTTGGTGTCTTACACTGTGGGTTAATTCAGGGGCACCACACGCTGGTGGGAGCGGGAGAGCCCTAACCCTCAGAAACTGTGTATTCTGGTGTCAGGCCGAGGCACAGCCCCGCCTGTGGGCCCTCCCTCATGCACAGCAGTGGCAGGAGGGCCCTGGGCATCGTCAGCCACGTCCTGAGCTAACCCCCGCCGTGGGGATTCTCCCGTAGGAACCCACTTCCAGCGGGTGATCCCCGAAGACGGCCCTGCAGCCCAGAACCCAGAAAACGTCAAGCGACTTCTCTTCTGTACTGGCAAAGTGTACTATGACCTCACCCGCGAACGCAAAGCCCGGGACATGGTGGAGCAGGTGGCCATCACGAGGATCGAGCAGGTGAAGGCAGGCGGGGCCCAGGGCAGGACTGGCCTGCCTCCTCCAGGTGTCGGGAGCCCACAGCCTTCCCAGAATTTCTGGAACATCCTTTAGGGGTCACTGAGCCCCCTGCCTGGGACACCAGCCCCTCTGGTACCTCACCCCACCACTGTGAGCATCTTGTCCTGACAGGAGCTCGCTCTCTCTCTCTCTGTCCCCAGCTGTCGCCCTTCCCCTTCGACCTCCTGCTGCAGGAGGTGCAGAAGTACCCCAGCGCCGAGCTGGCCTGGTGCCAGGAGGAGCACAAGAACCAAGGCTACTATGACTATGTGAAGCCCAGGCTGCGGACCACCATGAACCGCGCCAAGCCCGTGTGGTAAGGCAGCGGGCGGTCCG